AGCGCCTGGACCGGCTGCTCCATTCGCCCTATGGTAAGGCCGGCTCTGGGGGTACAATCCAAGCCTCATTATTATTAATATCATTAGTCCAGTAAAAGCACGAAAAGCCCCAATCTTATCGAGCAATAATTATAGAACAAAAAAAATTTTTTTTATTCTAAAATTAATGCTCGGTTAAACAGTAATTTTATGAGACTACAGGTTCACTCGGCACTAATGGCACAAATAGACAGGCAAATCAAGTGGATAAACAAGTTGTTTAGACTGTTAAAAGGGAAATCGGTGTTTACACTGGGATATTTTAAAGCAAGTTTTTGTTGTTTCTTGTTTCTTGTGTTAATAATTTACAGCAAATTGATTAACATAAGACATTTTATAATGAAATTAGATGTACCCCTTCAATTTACGCTCGTACCCCTAGGGGTACATGTACCCCCAGTTGAGAACCACTGGTTTACAATATACTATTTCTCTCTTCATAGCAAACTCCAGGGGGTAGTGTGGCTCAAGCAATGTAAGACAGATAAAACCTTTTTCTGATAAATAAGCTAATGAAAAATATTCATATACAGAATTTTTATAAAAATTCGGCATTCTTCTATCAAAAACACGATGTTTTGCAGGAAAAGCACTTTTACGGATGCAAGTATTGTTTCAAATGTGGTATTTCGCTTCAAATTCGCGCTACATTCAGTCTGTTTTTTGTTTTCTAGCAAAGTCATATTACAGTTTTCAGTAGTTTTGTATTTTGTTTATAACGAACTTGAAATTATAATAAAATTTTAAATTTTCGAGCAAAACAGAAAATTATTTATTTATATAAATTCGCTAAAATATCGTAGATTTATTAGTCACACTCATCCTTTGTTTGAAAACAAAAGAAACCACAGCCTTCTAGCTAAAGCAAGTGAGAAGGCATTGCTATTATTTACACTACTACTATAATTACACTCCAAGGAGAGGAGTGGATGAGTCATCTGAGGGTCGAAGTCAACACAAGTTTTCTTAGCGATAATGTATAAGAAACAATATTTTTATATTATTTCGATGATTTCTACAATAATCGCCTATACTACGCAATTTTGCATGCGATTCTTTACACATTTCTCATATTATGTAACAGCGAGGGGAAATGTTCACTTTCCCAAATAATTTATAAATTCGCAGTTCTAAAATAATGTTTACTAACCTAAATACTGTCTAAGAATAAATTAGCTAATTAGAGCTAAATAAAACGATAGAAACAAGCAATTTTATAGCGATTGTTTACATATTTCAATGATTGTAGCCTGAGAGGGATGGCACTTGTTAGTGGAAATTTGAGCGCCACTGTTTTCGCAGGTGGCTCATTCGTTGATCTAATATCAACATAGACAGAAAGTAACCAACTACAGTGTAAAAGAAGTTGACTATCAATTTTATCAGCCAGTAATCTGCCTCTTCATTTCTAATTACTTTACACTGGGAGGGGTCAATATTTTGCGAAATATTTATGGCCCGGAGGTGGTGACAAAACATTTATTGGTTGAGACAGTCAAAAGACACATACAAGAAAGCAAATCAAAGCTTAGATCGCTACAGATTTGATTACAGCTTGTACAAAACCCCTCCTTCCCATTGTTATATCTATGGAACACCCTTCTTTTATTTATTGGATGAAATAAGCCTTCGTTCACATGCCTGTTGAGCTGTAATTGGTATATTATAGCTAATTGACTATCCTTCAACGAATAAGCATAGACTCGGATTTGTGGGGTGGGAAATTTCAAGCAAAAAGCCATGCCTTCTCGGAAATACTTTGTCAACTACAAACATATAGAAACAATCATAAATCGTTATTCTGATTTATTTTTACCTGAATTTAGTAAATTTATATGTATATTCATACTGTTTTACGTTTATAAACGTTTTTTCAGAATCATCCAGCCATAAGTCTTTCTGAAAAACAAAGTACTTCCGGATTATTGTGATACTTCCGTAATACGTAAACAATAATACATGTATAATCTTTCACATAATAAGGTAATAATCGCTTATTATAATAGTATAAATAACATAAACAAAATCAAATATAAACCATCGATGCACAAATGTGTGTTGACCTAGATTACAAATTTCAACCACCCCCCAAACTAGTCGCGTTGTAAACTGTAGGCCATATTCTAATATTCTATCTCTACTTTGATTTAGAAAGCTGCAGTTCTTTTGAGAAAATAGACCCATGTATGTAACATATAACAGATTGATCGAATGTTTATACAAAAAGGTTTTTTGATTTTTTCAAATCTTGAATTTTATAAATTTTTGTAAACATATATATGTTATAGTCAACAATCATAAACGGTGATATGTTATTCATATTTCTGTAAAATTATTTACATATAAAAGCATTTAGAAAGAACTTCCAAACACTTTCATGTAATTATCAATTCTCAGATGGAGGGAGAACTTGTAATAAAAATTTGCTAAATGGAAATGGTATTGTACTGTAAGTACAAAAGTTTCCGATACCAGGGTTTGTCACAATTTATGACTGCAATAAATAACGTCAGATATTTGTTCCTAGAAATTCTGTCTCTTTGTTCTTCTTTCCAGTGACGGCCCGAGGCAAGTTTTAGGATGGAGCGCGATCCTATTATGGCGCCCTTCTTGGTTGCCCCTAATTTATACCCTTTAATTTTCTTTACCGCTGAGGCGCCCCCAAGGACTTAGCGCCTGGAGTGGCTGCTCCGTTCGCCCTATGGTAGGGCAGGCTCTGCTTCTTTCGAATGCTTCGAGAAATTCTCCACTTGCTTTCTAGTAGACACGTTCTCCTTTCGTTCAGTTGGAAAGTCTATATTATCTGTTCTGATTAAATATATTTCGCTATTTTATCAAGTAAGTTTATAAGAAATATACTATTTCTAGAGAAGAATAATAATTGTTTTATTTCGCGTTAGATAAATATAACGGGTTTTTAGATAAATTTTTTTTTTATTGTCAGAATGTCAGATTCATATTTTGAATTCGAAGAACTGTCTGAAAGTGACTCGGATATCAGCGTTGTTAGCCAGGATATGTCGTCAGACGACAGCGACGATGGAGACGTCCACTCTGCCATAAACTGGGTAGAGTTAAATTTGAATAGTCCTCCTCCATCTTCTTCGCGATTTACTTTTCGGGGAAATCCAGGGTGTAAATTTACTCTTACAGATGTATTTGACCCGTTGGCATACTTTTTGCTATTTTTTTGACTTGCAGCTAATAAATCTCATTGTAACAGAAACAAATAAGTTCTCGATGCAACAGGCACGGTCATCTAGGGATCAGTGGGAGCCAGTAACAGTCGGAGAAATATACAAAAGCGAAAGGTCGACGTATCGAAAGCGTCTCTCCTAGTCGGCGTCCGAGGACGAAGTGAGGTCAGAGGGGAAAGGTCAAGCGGTGGCACCCTCTGCCCTACACTCTGAAGCGGTCTCGTTAAGGTGTAAAATTTTTTATGTTATGTGAATCGAAATCCGGATATTTATACAGATTTATTATTTACACAGGAAAAGGCACTTGTCTAAACCAAAAGTATGCAAATATGTTATTTACCTCTCAAATTGTGTTAACATTAATGGACCCGTTGTTAGACAAGGGATACTGTCTAACTATGGATAATTATTATACTTCCCCACATTTAGCAGATTATCTTATAACGGTCAAAACTGATTGTTGTGGAACATTACGCACAACACGGAAAGATGTTCCAAAGGTATTACATCAAAAAAATGGAAAAAAAGGAGAGACTGTGGCAATGCAGAGAGGTAACGTGATGATTCAAAAATGGCACGACAGAAGAACAGTCACTTTCCTCTCTACATTCCGCAGTCCGAGAATGGTAAGGAAATGCGTACTGGTAAAATTGTAATGAAGCCACAAGTTATTGTTGACTACAACAACACTATGGGAGGTGTTGACCTTTTAGATCAGCATCTCCATGATTATACTGTGGCGAGAAAAAGAGGGAAGAAATACTACAAAAAATATTCTTTCAATTATTAGATATTTGTTTATATAATGCATATGTTTTGTATTAAAAAAAAATGGTGGAGAAAAGACAAATCTGTCATTTAGAATGCCCTCATTGAACGCATTATAGCAATGTACCACACCGAAACGAGGCCCAGCAAACATGGTCAGACGAAAACTCCGAGTCAGCTTAGACTTACGGAAAAACATTTCCCGGACTTTATTCCGCCGACCGACAAAAAAGTTGCTCCAACTAGATGCTGTGTCGTTTGTTGCAAAAAACATGATGACAAAGGGAAAAAAATTCGACAGGAAACAAGGTACCAGTGTGAATCTTGTAAGGTGGCCTTGTGTCCAGCGCCTTGTTTCAAAATTTATCATACGAAAATAAATTTTTAATTGATTTTATTTTATATTTTACTTTGTATAAATTGTTTTTTTAAATTGTGAATTGAATTTTATTTTTATTTTTGATCTTTTTTAATTATAGATATGTTTTGTACAATATGGAAAGTATAATCGTGATGTATATTTGTAAATATTTTATTGTTTTTCATATAAATAACTCTTAATTTTATTTTTGTCATTAAATTTATTTTCATTTTATGTTGTGTCATGTTTCATTTCTTAAATTATTTTTAAACGCTAATCGATGCTAAACTACGAATGGCAGCTTTCCAGCACGTTAGTGTGTCGTGCAGAAAAGCCACCATTGCAGGCCCTTTAAAGTTGGCTATCCAGAGGGAAAGATGCTATTTAGGAACCAACTGAGGTACATTCACAAAAATTAAAAACAATTTTTTTCAATTCAAATGATGATTTTTTTTAATATTCAAAAACGAAAAAAATTTTCGACTTACATTCGGGCCTGAAGAAAAAGTCCCAATGGGTTAATTAAACAGTTTTTCAGAAATATATTCTCTAAACTGTTGCGTTGTTGTTGTGTTAGAGGCGAATCTTCCGATTCACAGGTAAACGAAAGTGTTACCTGAGGTAACACTTTCGTTTTTTGCTTATCTCTTAACGAACTTTGCAATTAAAATATTTCATGATGATAGAAAAGAATCGGAAGAATTTGAATTCGGACTTGAATGTTTAACAGAAACAAAACAGTACATTAAAGAGGTTTACGAATTCCAAGAAATTGGACAAGAACTTATGGAACAGTTTACTTGGCTCGGTCTAAAGATTCTGACAGAAATTTTGCTCTGAAAGCAATCAAGAAAAAATGGTTTTTTCGAGATTAGGTATGCATTGGGCCTTGTTTTCGATATTCTTCGTCTTCGTGCTGCTAAAAATAATACAACGTCTATAATGATGTTGATCAAACAATGCACTATTTGATTATATCTTTGGCACATAAAGTTTATACATCTTATTGTGGAAATATAGTTCATTTATACAGGGTGTATCTAAATTGGTGTCCATAAACGTAGGGATGTATTCCTGACACCAAAACATTACAAAAAGTTCATATGTACATGAGTCTGAAAATCCTTCGTTAGGGAATTATAGGATTTATTGCTAATTGTACATGTAAGGCATTTAACAACATAGATTTACAAAAATTGGTCGAAGTGACCTCCTCCTACTTTCATGAGCCTGCGTTCCATGCTTTGCCATACTCTGTTGAAAATTCCTGAAGTGTTTCGAATTTGGTCAAAGCCATTTTAAATACGCTCCCTCAGAACATCGATATTAGGTACAGGAGTTGAATACATCAATGATTTTAAATGTCTCCAGTAAACACACGAGTACATAATACATTAAATCTTCTTTCTTTCTTAGGTTTATTCACCAACATTTGTGAATCTCTTTGGTTATCCCAGAAACACTCATTGGCAGGCAAATCATCGACCTTCTAAAGAAAGTCAGAATAATAATTTTTGTTATTTGTATGCATATTTCAAACTTCAGTAAAACGTACTAACTCACTTTCAATCATATAATTAATGTGTAATATCATAAATATAAATTAATAACTTACATTACATGGGCAATTTTCGAATTACTGACCATCCGGTTCAACACCGCCACTTTTGTCATAACAAAATTTATGAAATTTTAAATAAATATTGAACTTATGAAATACATTTGTTAATGTCATTCATAAATATTACTTTTGATTAAACTCACCTCTCGTTTTTCATATTCGTATTCGGCATTCGCAAAAGAAACCTTTCAACACAACGCATTTTTCGCTTCAATAATTGAAACAATTGGAAATTGTTACATCCACAACATTGTTTCAAATCGTCGCAATTTTTTGTTATAAAATTACTAGGGCTGTGGAGTCAGAGTCGTGGAGTATTGGTATTTTAGTCGGAGTCGTCAAAAAATCCGCCGATTCCGACTCCTGTTTACTTCCCAACTTCTTATGTATATAAAACGGAAAAGTATCGGAATTGTGTCAAATTTGACCCTCCAGGTTTTTTTTTTCAAATCTACACGTTTGGAGACCTCTCGAACCCCCTCAAAAAGTCAATAAAAATTCAGAGGAAAAATTTGCGTGCGTGTATGTGTGGCGTCTAATTTGTTTAACTTCTTTATTTTCTGAGATATTAAACAATATCTCAGAATGGGTAAAGTTTAAGAAACGAAATGTGGCACTGTGGCTTGCGTACAAAGGGGCATTAATACTATTAAATTTTGGTTCTTAGTTAAAGGTCGACAGGGTGAAGACATAAAAGTGGTCATGTGTCATATCTCTTAATGAATATTTTACTCGTTATTAGTGTTCTAAATTTTAAAAAAGAATAAAATTTGCCTCTACCCTCAAAGTAAACTTTTTTGTCATTTTATAGTAGTACAGTAAAACCAGTTAAGATGTTCTCGCCTAAGATGTTAGAACGTATATGATGACATGATTTATATTTCAACCATTTTTGACGTTTAATAATTAACTCTTGTGTTAAACCATCTGACTCCGATTCCAACCACTCTGACCACAGAAATTATTAGGCTTCAAACAGAGTGAAAATCATGCCCCATACACACAGTCTAACATCCACACATATAGAAAAAACCTGGAATCTTTTGCATATCTCGAAATTTCAAGGTGTCCCGAGTCCAAAAATGTAAAAATTTGGAAAGGGTCATTTTTTGACCGAGCGCTACACTTTCCCTCTGTTATATATAACATCCGAAAAGTAAAAGTTATCGAATATATATTTATATATTACTTAGAGGAGTCTTTTAGCTTTGGAATAAAAAGTTTCTACGTTCTATCTTTATTAGAACTCTATTTATTGAATCTTTTATTCTGAAATCACGTGATGACATCAAATTTTCCGGGTCTCTTTCGATAACAAGTCCTCCCCTGATCGGAGTTGGTAGATTTTTACGCGACTCCACAGCCCTGAAAATTATATTAAAATAAATACTGTCTTTTCGGTTTATTTAAAATTTTGTTACGCACGAAATTGTGTATGAGAAACAATACGAGTAGCAATCTACAGTAGTGTTTTTATAAGTTAGTTCGTTACAATTCTTAGTATTATTTATTATATACTCAGACATGTAGAAAGTCTTAACGTTAAGACTGAACATTTTCAAGTCTGAATTTAGAAAACCTTTATTTGTAAACAAAACTGAATTACTTTATAATTCAACACCGTTAAATGATACATAGGCTGTTTTTTTTTTCAACTTCCGATGGTCCATAAAACAAAGACAAGTGTAAATTACAAAATCAATTTATTACCAACAATTGGCACAAACATGCTCACTTTTCGACATAATCACCATGAAGATTGAGGCATTTGTCATATCTGTGGACGAGCTTTGCAATCCCCTCTTCATAGAATGTTGCCACCAGTGACTTGACTTGGACCTTAACTTTGTTTTGAAGATTGTCATTAATCTCGAACTTCTGCCCACCTAGTCATGTTTTTAGTTCAGGAAAGAGGTGGAAGTCGCTCGGCGTTAAATGGGGTTTGTACGCTGAATGTTTAAAAAGTTCCAAGCTAAGTGGAAGTCTGAAAGATGACAGTGTTCACACATTTAATGTGTGAAGACAAGTAGACTGGGAACCGATTTTGTGAAGACGGAGATGAAATGCTAGATATGAAAGTATACAATCATACACAAGTATACAGAACTAGCAGGTGGGCCCGGCGTTGCTCGGGCAAAAGTAACGATAACAAGATAAAGATTATTACGTTACAGTCAACCTTACCCGTTTTCACAGAATGCAAGAATTGGGTCCCATTGTTTCCAAACTAATTAGAGAATTTTTAGATGGGTCTAAAAATATGTTCGATTTCCCGTAAAAACTAAAAAACTGCATCTGCGTATTGCACGTCGCTTTCTCTTAACAATTCTATTGTTACGTAACATTTCCATTGTTGACACTTCCATTGTTACTTAAAACTTTTATTGTTACTTAAAACTTCCATTGTTACTTAACACTTCCATTGTTACTTAACACTTCCATTGTTACTTAACACTTCCATTGTTGATGGAAGTGTTAAGCCTTAATCCTGCCTCTCCCCCGTGGGGAGGAATTGCGAAAAATCCCTTCTTAGTGTGCGTTCTCCTAACGTACCCTAACTGTGTACCAAATTTCAACTTTCAACTCCTAACCGTTTGGGCTCGTATCCATAATGTATATAGAAGTTTTAATCCTGTCTCTCTCCCCCGGGGGGGAATTTCGAAAAATCCCTTCTTAGTGTGCGTTTTCATGACGTACCCTATCTGTGTACCAAATTTGAACTTTCAACTCCTAACCGTTTGGGCTCTGCACTTATTATTATTATCATTATCATCAACCCGTCTCGATTATATATTAGATATTGAAAATGTATAATACTAGTATTTAGAAGGGCCCTAAAGAAGTTGTGGCCGCCAGCGCCAGAGATCCTGAACACTGTCTGGCAACACTTGCCAACAAGAGTGGCTGGCAACGTCAAAAAAGAAAAGGCGCGAAAGTTCGTTGGATTTTGTCCGGGTGTTGCCCGAGGATGTCTGTGACAGTTCTAACCTTTTCTAATAAAGTTCTTTTTTGTTACTGTTCGTGTTTGCCTGCTTAATGTTAGATCTAAACATCAGTAGGATTGAATGACAAAAAGTTAAATATTTACTGGAAACCTTTATTATAGCTTTCTCAAGGGTTCAGCAGAATAAGTAATGGTTTTTGCCCCAAATTTCGTACCAATTGTAAATGGCTGATCTTGAGAATTATTCCCAACTGTAAGATTTATAAAGCAAAAATGTACTGTACGTATGATGATTTATGTCTTGTGTAATTATATCTGTGTAAAAAAAAAATAAGCATAGAACAATTATTATGTCGAATTTATTTAAGATACGAGTTTGTCAAATTCGTGATATTGTTAAACGGAAATCGAACACTCCAGCAAATACAATGACTTCTTGTTTGTCATATGCACATTATGTCCATTGTGCTCGAATTTAAATCCGTAAGCACGTTTATTATGAATCAATGTTTATAAATTAAAAAATCTGTCCTATTTTAAAGTAGCATACTTTATATTAAATATATCCATAACATATAGCCGTCATAGTCTATATGTTAGGATATGTTTAACAATGACCATTTATATTTTGATTCATCATGCTATTACATATTCCGTATCTGTAACTAGTTATAAATTTATAGAAAGAAACTTTAGAAAATATTTTAAAATGAAATTTATTATTCTCTGTCGTATCGGGGTTAATATGGAGGTTATTGCGTAATCGCTTATTCTCCGAAGAGCTGGCCGAAGCTGGTTTGCTTGACCATACGAAATTACTCGCGAATAGCTGGTGAAATGCCTTTCGGGAGGTCTTTTAAGGGTAACTGGCCCCTATTTAGGCATTAGAGACTTGAAGAAAACCCGAAAAACTTTACGGGCCAACCCGTTCTGGCGAAGCGCGAACTATCAGTGTTCAGGGACGACTGGATGGTCGAGCCATCGAGATGGCAGCCTACCGCTCTGGACGGGTGGTCCCTCACCACCCGGCCGCCCCGTCGTGAGCCTGGCCGAACCCATGATGGGTTTGCTAAAAGAGGCCCTCTTAGTGCCCACAGGGAGGAAAGAGTTAAAAAAAAAAAAAAAAAAAAAACAGTGTTCAGGGAACGGAACCGTTTGGCCATGAAATTTATTGTCACAGATCATCTAAAAGTTGTACAGATAGGCAATCGGATTTACGAAGTACCACTTACAAGTTAGTCATAGAGATTTCTTCCATCGATAAGTAAAAATTAATAAATCTCACAAATGTTCAGATAAAATTAATTTATTAATAAATATAAAAATTTTAATATAAAATTAAAACAAAAACAAATAATACATTTAAAAATTGTTACGCTTTTAACAATTTAATAAATTTATAAATCAGTTTTTCAGGTGGCGCTTAAGTATTTAATAGCAATGAATGGTTTGAATGGTGTAATACTGTAAAAAAATAGAAATTTTTTAGAATTATTATATCGGAATATTAACGTCTTTATTAAAATGACTGAATCAGTTAATTCCCAAAGATTTTATTACATTTATAGCTGTGATTTAGATGCTTGCTTTAAAATTAAAATGTAAGTTTTTTATTTATAAATTTTAAAAGAATTAGATAAAGTATTATCATGTATTAAATCATTAATTATAAAAATGTATTTTAATAAGATAAAGAAAACATTAAAAATATTCGTAACCGTAGAATTCCTGTAATAAAATAAGTAAATAAAATATCAAATTTTGGTACTTTGGGTTAGCAGGACATCAGTCAATCGCCTATTTTTATGCAAAATTGAACTTTTATTTTGCATTTTTCACATAAAGATAATTGTAAACATAAATTAAATAATTACAAAGAAAATTTTTTAATCTAAAAATATAATTACAAAAAATATCATTTTTAATAACTACGGCATATCGCACAGAGGCATAAATTTTGATATGTCATGTAACAGCTGTAAAAGTTTCCTGTTTGGAATATTGTCTTCTCCAGATAAAATCTATAAGATACGACTGCAAGTGGTGACGATAAGTACCACATTGTACTTTGTTTCTCCATTTAGATATGCCCCATAACCTCTCTATATGACATCCTGTATATGACATCTCTCTTGCATATGACATCCTGTGTCCGGATCCACAAAGTTGTATTTATGATTGACCTGAAAATGATTGAATCCAGCTTCTTCTAATTCCTGATGTTTGTATACTTTCCAACTATCTGGATAAATAGTAAATTTAGTTGCCTTATAGTCCTTAATTATACTTTATTACAAATTGTCCACGTAGACAATTTGTAATAATGAATAAATAGTAGTTCCATCGTGTATATGATTTTTTATTTCCTTCATTAAGGTATTTGCTGAATGGTCTGGGACTGGCACTAGAAAACATTCTTTTGATTCCCTACATATACCACTAAGTACCCACTGTTGCAGAAAAATGCAACCGACATTTTGCTTTCTATGCATATACATAGTTTCGTCAATTTCTACAATTTTGTTCACACCATTGATCTTTAAATTAGGACAATTTATTAGGGAATGAGCACATATATCTTGCATATAACTGTTCCAGTCCACAGTAGTACTTGGATATAGGCCTAGTTGCATTTGACAGAAATGATATGATGTTAATTCCAATGACCATAGATATATGAAATGCATGGCATTTAAAAAATGATATGCATGATCCTACAAACCAGATGTTGGTTCTAATTTTCTTTTCATGACATGTTCTTATATGACATCTCCATTTAGAACTATCTGATGAACAAAAATACAAAGACATTCAGTGATTCTTTGTGAAAAATCTTTCAGAATTCCATTTTCAATAAGTATAAATAACTCCACTTGAAAAAACAAAAACTTGCTGCACAAACTCTACAAACAAAAAAGTTTGTAGAGTTTGTGCAAAAGACATTTATCACTGATGCATAAAACCACTTTACATAATCATGTGAAATTTGTGAGGTATAAATGAGGACATTGCATTATCAGAATTGTAAAAATTTAAAAAATATATATATTAAATATTATAAATCAAAATTATAAATATAATAAATGTTTATAAATAATTACAAAGACAATGTATAGAATAAAATGAATTTTCACTCCTTCAGTGATAAAAGATGTAATATGCTAATTGTTTTATTGAAATTAGTGTAAAAATAGTATGCATATTAAATTCACAGTCATCCTTCATAAATTTTTAAATCCTATTAACAGAAATAGTAAGTTTGTTTCCTTTTTCACTTTAAACATGTAATCTTATGTATAATGGAAAAATTCAGATGCATTTGCAATTTAGATCGCATCTATTGACTGGCGTCCTGCTAACCAAAAAGTGCCCAAATTTTTTTTATATTATGACTTTAAATTTTATTCACTATAAGTTTAAAAATGTGATCATAATTACTTTTAACTTCTGTGCAAAAATTGCATATACATTATCAAAAGAATCTTAATATTTTTCCTCACAGATTTATTATTAGTAAAAGTATCAATTGATATAATTTGAAGTAGCGTAATCGACCAATAATCCTTTAAGCTGGAATTGCTTTGGTTCAAGAAACTAAATGCCTTACACACCTTTCCGGCACAGAAAAGTTAATAAAACATCTTCAGCTTGCTTGAGAAGCCACCTTTAAGTTGTGCTGTTAGAAAACAAACTTTAAAAGAGAGATTTCAAAATAGGATCTAATTTTTTTCTTTTTTTTTTTTTCAAATTTGTTTTGTAATGGAGAACTCAAAGGAGTGTGAGGACCACCACCGCCCTCCAAATATATATATATATTGTAAACTTATTTGTAATAATTTTTGTTTATTTACTTTATATCCTTTTTTAATTATGTATTCACATGAACCTTAATTGTATCTTGGATAACAACCGAAGTTGTAAGAGGAAATTCGCCTATTTTACCAATCTAGGAACCCCCTTTTTAATATCAAGTAGTTAGAATGAAATGGTTTATCATTCAAAATCTCACAACATGCCAAAGAAAAGAGGAAAAAGCAACCAAATAAACATTGCATTCCCCTTTGTTTTCAACAATGTTTACATGAAGAACTTAGTCAAAGCAATCAACAAACAATGACTAAGAGCAAAGATGAGTCATGTCAACTCAGAGATGACTATGAAAGCTTGATGTCATCATGGAATAAGAAAACACCAACTCAGAGATGACTCTACGAAAGCTCAACGTCATGAGAGAAACACTGCCAATGAGTCATCACCTGATGATGACTTTCTCATGCTGAAAGGGTTTAAAAGGAAAACCCCAACAAGAGAAAAGACAGTCCTGTTAGGAGTTCAGTTAGAGATGGGGACACAGTGAGTAAGAAAAAGGAAGAAAGGAGAGACAGCTTGAGTCAGAAAAAGGCAGTCAGAGTGAGGACACAGTCCCGTTAGAAAGACAGTTAGAAGGAGACGGCGAAATAGTCAGCAATTGTGGACACAACTCCAACCCGAGAAAGAGTGGCTCAAGAGAAGACAACTCAAAAACGAGCAAGAACCAGACGAAGTGCAGTGAACACCAGAAACCTCCGCAGTCTTGGCCGTCAAGTCAACGTCACAAGAGAAGACATCTTGTTTATCTGGTATGTTGTGAGTCGCGTAAGTTCGAAATACCCCCCTGTTAGGTACCCCCTCGTTGAATAGATAAGAATAGGCAAATTTCCAAAATCGGTTTTTATAACTCTGTTCTAAACTTTTGTTTATGTTAATAAATGTCCTTAAATTGGTTATATCTGACTCTGTATTCTTCCTCCTGAGAGGCTCATTCCTGGACTTCAGAGTGACTCTTACCCTCATGCCTTAATCATCCATTTCATCTCAAACGGTGGTGTGTCCGATAAAACACACCTGGTGGCAGGACTCTACCTAAAAAGCATTTAATAAACCTTTTACGGCCCCCGAACCCCACAGGATGCTTCTTGAACAAGCTGAAAATGTTTTATTAATTAAATTTTCTGTGCTGGAAAGGTGTATTGTGTGTTTTGTTAAGCATAATTGGCATCATTTAAACTGAAATTATCTCAATTGAGATAATTCAAATGATAATAAATGATATCATAATTCAAATGATACTTGGTTTCATTATATGAAATGTTTGCATATCAACTGACAGTGTTTCAAATGATATTATTAGTGCTACAAAATAAATTAGTATATATTTGTCATTAAAATATCCGTTATTAATAGAAAATACACATGACTGTAAAACAGCTGTATAAATTATTAATTTACAAAACTTGGTATTTTATATTATTTTATAGTGTTGTATGTAATATATTTTATATTATTTTTTCTTCCAATATTGAAAATATTTATGCATTATTATGTACTTTTAAATTTCCATGTGGTAGTGATGATTTTAAATTGTTGTATAAGATTTTAAAAAGTTAAATCCAAAAATTAAACTTTAATGAGCACTAAAATCAAATTTTCTAAATATTCCATTTTTTTTCCATTTTCTTTTGAGAAAATGGAAAAAAAATGATAGAAATATTTAGAATCAAAATCTTCTTTCTTCAAAATCTAATAGGAAAATTTGAAAATGCTAAAGAATTCCAAAAGTATTTAGACAGAATAAATTTGTATCTATTAAATTGTGTTCTTAAGAATAAATAAATTACAGAGTTAATTTGTAGCGCAGAAATTTAAATTTATCTTATATTAATTATTTTAAATGCTTATTTCAAATTTCTGAAAAATAATATATAATAGTTGTAAGTGTAGATATTTATTTAACAAGAGAACTACTGCTTTGATTGATATAAAAAGCCCCAAATGTTTTCAGGCCTGTAAACCCATCTCAGACAAACATGTCCCATTTGCCCTGAAAATAGCTTCCTCTAGAAATTGTTTAAAAAATTTGTAATAATTGACTCCAATAAAGCTTATCTGTAGTCATTGAACTTTTAAAGGAGTGTTTTTTTTATTTACTTTTGTAAATATTTACATAAAAAAATTACTTTTTTAATTAATTATTTAGTTTTATATTCATATATTTTTGAAATAAAATTTTCAAACAAAATTTTCAGACAAAACTTTTCCTTATTGAAAATAAAAATACAATATGTTCAAAAATATAAAATTATTTTGAATTATCTTAAATGATGTTAAATGATCATTTTTAATTGATACAAATGGTTTTAATTGATGTAAAATTAACCAAGTAATTTAAAATATTTCTAAAAACATTTAACTTATGTATCTGTTGAAGTTGTTTAATCCCAGATTATTTAACATTAGTTCAATTTGAATACATGCATGTACAAAAATTAAAGATGGATGGCATCTGTATGAGTATAGATGAATACAGACAAGTGTGGCAAGAACTGTATTACTTAACATCTAACACGGGGTATTACAGTAGGATTTTACAAATCAAAGCAATAAAAGTAAGCCTTTGATGAGAAAGACATACACCTGTTGGATATAATTGGAGAATGGATGGAAATTGCTTACCAATACCCAGACAGACATATTCCATATTGACAAGACCTGTCAATATGGAATATGTCCACCTCAAGCTGTGATTCAGCACTCTCAATGTTGTGGCAGGCTTGTCACTGACTGGCTTGGTGACTTTTTCTATAGCTATCACCACTGGCAATTGTATTTGTCTTTACATTTTGGACATGTGTGTACTATTAAACTTTGTGAATGTGCTATGCTTGTAATTTTTATAGTAGGAATTTGAAAGTTCTTGACATTTCTTTTATTTATTGCAATAGTAAAGTGCATATCTTAAATAATTAGTTTGTCCAGCTGCTAATGTGTTTGTTCACATTTTCCTTCTATAGTCCAATCATTGGCAATCATTCGTGAAAACCTTACTTTCTGGCAGAGTGAATACGTGGAAATAGTCAATCCTCACTCTGCTGACTTCACAAACACTGTCCTTATAACTGTCTATTCAAATAAATTCAACTAATAGAACAAATCATCATTGATATTCATAGTTTAGTATAAATATTATTGAGGAGAATATAAAGAACGAATCCCTGAACTGAAAACAATATTGTTGTAATAGGAAAATACTATTATTAAAATGCTTATTTTATTTAAATGGTTTGTATTTTTATTTAATAAAAAATTTGTAAAAAAGTTGTGAATTAAATTAATTTTTCTTCTAATGAGAGTATTTTTTCTTATAATGAATAATTTAAATTTGAAAAACAATTGAAAGAATTTAAAGAAAATTGAAAGAATTTTAAAATTGAAAGAAAATATTTTCTTAATTTAAATTAAAATCATATCTCTAATTTTATATTTAATTATACTTTAATATGTTGATGACTGCATTATGTTAAAATATATACTATTTTATTTTTTAAACATTCAAATAATTCTTTTTTAAACAGTGGTACCTTAGAAGGAAAAAGAAGAAAACCTAGTTATCATGCACTGTTAAATGATCCGTTACTAAAATTTTCTGGTATGTCTCAAGAAGGTTGTTCTGATCTTTATGTTACATGTCAAATATATGCTTCTGGTGAACCACTTGCATTACCTGTTCAAACATCATATAAAGCATTTAGTACACGATGGAAGTAAGTGTCAAAATAACATTATTTTTATAAATTTTTATGATGACTTATAACATTTCCAATAAGGATTTAATTTAAAATTTTTTTATATAAAATTATAGGATCTTTATAAGTAATTGCTTTAGTTGAAATTTCCTAAAGTTTAGATAAACAGTTTCAATTAAAATCTGTACTTTTATTATATACTAGCTGTTACCCGCGACTTCGTCCGCGAGGTTTTGCAAGCAAACCCCATTTACATTCAATATTTCAATAACCATAGTAATTGTTATATAACACCTACCGCTGAAGAAAATTGATGAGAATCAAACGAACTATTTTCAATTTGATCAATTTTCTGGAACGTTTACAATCGTTCTATAATCGAACCAATATGCAATAACAAATTCGAATTTAAAACGGTTCGAACATTTTTAAAATCGAAATAGATAAAAATATTTATAACAATGTCTGAAATGTTATCAATTTAATACACCTAAGTACTCAATGAAGACTAAACGTAGTTGAAAACAAAAAATCGCATCTAAAATAGTACAGTAGAAGCCGTTCTTCCGGTTAAGCCTTAATGCTCTCCCTCTCCCCCCGCGGGGAAATTTCAAAAAATCCCTTCTTAGTATGCATTCTCATGGCATACCCTACTACAACACAGATAAAAACAAAAAAATCGCATCTAAAATAGTACAGTGGAAGCCGTTTTTCCGGTTAAGACTTAATGCTCTTCCTCACCCCCCGCGGGGGACTTTCTAAAAATCTCTTCTTAGTGTGCATTGCCATGGCATTCACTACTAAAACGCAGATAAAAACAAAAAATTGCATCTAAAATAGTACAGTAGAAGCCGTTCTTCCGGATAAGCCTTAATCATTTCCCTCTCCCCCCGCGGGGGAATTTCTAAAAATCTCTTCTTAGTGTGCATTGCCATGGCTTACCCTACTAAAACGCAGAATATTTTATGAAAGAAAATCTGAATTTATTGTATTTATTTATTTTGAATGTATTTCATTTTTTCAAAGTAAATTAGATATATATTGCATATAAATTTTAAGAAACTTGATAACATTTAAAAATTTAGTCATTTATATTTTCAAAAATTGAAAATAACACTTATTTTTATAAATATAGCATTGATTTTTTTATAATAAAAATAATATGTGTAGAACAGTTTACTTTCAAATAAATCTTTTAAAAAATTAAAAATTGCTGTTTATTAGTTTATTTATTAGTTAATTAAATATTTTTAAATGTAATTAATTTGCCTAGTCATTTCTCCTATAATGCAGGTAAGTATAACTAAGTAGGTGTGTAACTACTATAATTAGGGTAAGTAGGTATGTAACTAAAAATCAATCCATTAGAAATTTTGCACAATAGAAATAAATCTTTCAAAATGCTTTATCATTTCATACATCTCAATATTTAAAGCTTTTGTCCTTTGTTCACTACTAGGATTTTTATTATTAGGATGCTTATTCATATTTGGGATGCCATATTAAATACTTTTATTAAAAATGGTATGCAAACTTTGAAGAACAGTATAATACACACTTTCAGGGCTACACACGTGAGTAGGCTATGAATAATAGAGGAATGATATGTATGTTCCTCTGTATGTTATTATATTCAACTGAGTGGAGATTATTTTTATACTCTCTTGATATTCAATAGTGCAAAGCATAGTCACTTTGTGAAAAATTATATATGAACTAAGTATAATTTTGCATTATTTTTACTAATTTTATCTTCCTATTTATTTGCCTATGGCTTGTGTGAATAAATTTGCAAATTATAAACACACATTGTAACAGTAAAGTATGTATTAGAATTAAGTTGTACAAGTAAAAGTAATTAAAATAAAACATACTATGGATAATACTTAAAATATTAAATTTTAATTGAATTGAAATAAGAATAATTGACTATCATTGTCTTATCTATTGCCTTCAATCTCTTTAATTCTGTATATACGAGGGGGGACCCAAAAAAAAACCGAACTGAGAGCCTGTTGCAATTCGTAGACATAGTAGAGAGTTCTCCTGTTACATGGGGTTAGTAGAGACCTTCATGAAACAGCTTTGCAAACGGTGTGGGTTTGCACAGCTTTGTAGAAACAGTTTGTAGGTTTACATTTTAGCGTAGTGTTGTGTTTCTCTTACTGTTATTTTGTTCTGCCTGCGAAGTTCTGGGCATCCTTCGACATCTCGAAACGATGAAAATGTTGAAAAAATCTGCCAAAAAAGTGTTAAGACATTTGGAAGAGGATGTGTGAAGGAAATGCCCGGAACTTTGGCAATCAGATGACTGGTTCATTCATCACGACAATGCCCCCACACACACGGCCTTACGAGTGACCCACTATTTGGCCTGTCGTTCCCCACTCTCCATATTCACCAGACCTAGCCCTATGCGACTTTTTTCTGTTTCTGAGAATGAAGAAAAATNGGTTTTTTTTGGGTCCCCCATGTATGTGTATTTTTGCTAATTTGATTATAATTTGTACAATTATTGAAAAATTGAACTGAAATATAATTAACTGTTAATAAGCATCATTTAATCATCACCAAAAAAGTTTAGAGTCAAAGATTATGTATATGAATCATGTCAGTATTATAAAATCTGAAATATACTAGAACTTGGTTTTACTCTATTTCAAGAGAAAATTATCAAACATTTTAAACAATACATTTCTATCATATATTTTTGTTAAAGTTCAAATTATGATTAATAAAAAAGTTGCTAGTTATTAGTAAGAGTTAATAGTTATGATTGTTATTTTTAGTTTTTGAAAATGTGATTATTGAAATTCTACAAAAATATATCAATTTAGAATTAGGAATAAGATTTGAAAGATATGTTTGTCTTAGTATTATGTTTTTAAGCATCAGCTATCTTAATGTGATGTTGATACATTTATTTCTTTGAAGAATAAGTAAAATATTAATTAAACTTTATGAAAATTTCATGATGATGATGATGATTTTAAATATACTGATTAATTATATTCAGATAATATGCCATAGAAGATAATTAATGTCATAACATTTAATTAAATGGTAGTTATTTAAACATTTTTGAAATCAAACATTTATGTAAAAGTATATATTATAAACTTTTTGATTTAGCTGGAATGAATGGTTGACATTGCCTGTAAAATTTTGTGACTTACCAAGAAATGCTGTCCTTGCACTAACAGTTTGGGATGTTTATGGTCCAAGAAAGAGTGTTCCTGTTGGAGGTACTACTGTATCCATATTTGGAAAAAGAGGGTAAATTATATTGTAATTTATAATATAAATATTTATAACATATTTTTGTTTAATAATTTGTCATCACTATTATAATATTTTTGAATATTTTGTATTTGAAGAATGCAAATTAATTAAGAATTTTACAAAAATTATCATCAGGTCTACAAAATAAATTGCAACAGAAGCAAAAGATTAGAAATGAAAGCATTTTTAATTCTAATTTTACTAATTTACATTTTAAAATAAAGGCTCAGCTAATTAATTGATTTAACTGGTTTTGGCAAGTAGAATCATTTCAAAAGTACTTGTTAAGTTATATAAAAACCCTAAATCCATGAGAAGGAGTTTTTTTACAAAAACATTTAAAACTACAGTAGAGCATCGATTATCCGACTGAATTGGGGATCAGGTTGGTTGGATAACTGAAAAAATTGGATAACCAAAAAGAAGGAAAAAAATACATTATTAGTATAGTATGTTAGTATATCCCATGTAATTAGTATATTAGTATATCGCTATTAACCAACTTCACATTGAATTTTCATCTATGTTAAGCCTAACAAATTTTTTTAAAATAATAATCGTCGCTATTGTATCATTAAAAATTATTTTTAAATTATTTTATTGCTCACAAAACAAACAACCACTCATAATTACAAAATTAAGTCCCGTTTAAATACTGGACTCCCTTCAATGGTCGAGTTGGTGTTGCCTGCTAAAGCATGCAAAAATTTAACAAAAATAATATTAAAGTAGCCAAGTCATAGCCAAATACTGTAGTGCCACATCACTAACGGACATTTGAAATTTGCCGACTAGAACGGTCAGTTAACCGATGTGGCGGTTAATCAGGGGTCGGATAATCGATGCTCTACTGTATTCATATGCATAGCTTCTAATGAAATAAGTATATGGAGTTTTATGAAAGACATCTTTCAACTAATTAACATAACTTTTTATTATAACAACATGCCATGCATGATAGACAAAATGCTGTGTAGCATATATATTGTGCCAAAAAATAAATTTAATATTTTCCAAAAATGTAAAAAATAAATGTGCTTTACCAAAACATTTTCAATTTATATGATCAATTAAAAAAGTTAAAAACTGAAAGTTGTAAATATAATGAAAGCGTGTTAATTTTGTTTAAACGTTTGAACTCAGGAAAATCAATGACACACTGATAAAGTGTGTCCTTGATTTTTGTTTTTAATATTACGGAATAAATATTTGTTTCTAGTTTAAATTTATTGTAATATACAATTTATTAGTTAGAAGTAATATTTTAATATTTTTCCACTAAATTAAATTTGTTTGAAGAGACAGTTTAAGGGTAAAAGGTATTAGATATTTGAAATAAAATAAAATATATATTCACTAGCAGGTAAGCCCAGCATTGCCCAGGCAAAAAATAAGAATAAACATTAAGATTAGCTAATTTTGTACTTCTAACCCTTCTATTGTATTATACTATAGAATTTGGTTTATATAACTATGAAGATTATCTTACATAGCCAATCTTACCTCTTTTCACCAGGTGCAAGAATTAGGTCCTCCCTCTTCTGAGGCTAATTAGAGAATTTTTAGATGGGCCAAAAAATATGTTTGATTTCCCACAAAAACCACATTTAAAATAGTGCAGTAGAAGCTGAGTTCTTCAGGGTAATCCTTAACCTTCTCCCTCTCCCCTGTGGGGGGAATTTCAAAAAATTCCTTCTTAGTGTACATTCTCATGATGTACCCTGTGTACCAAATTTCAACTTTCAACTCCTAACTGTTTGGGCTCTGAACTTCTTATTATCATTATTATTATTATTATCAACCCATCTCGATTATATTATAAGATTCACATATGTTATTTTTAAACTATTGTATATCTTCTCAAACAATTTTTCTGTTTTTTTAGAGCACTTAGACAAGGAATACATGATTTAAAATTGTGGCCAAATGTACAAGCTGATGGAAATGAAAATACTGAAACGCCTGGCAAAGTTGATAGTTCTAAGGAATTGATGACAGGTTTATCTAAGGTTTGTGACTTTTATTTATGTGTAATGAAAGATTGAAATACAGTAAAACTTTGATTTAATGGACTAATTTGGGCAAGGAGGTGTCTGCTATAGCCAAAAGTCTATTATATAATAAAGTGGGTTTTTCAAATGTGCATGTTAAAAAATTGACAAATTAGTTTACCTGTTTTTACTTATGTAAGTATATTTGTGTAATTAAAATATGAGAAATTTAATTTTACTGAAAAGTTTTCTATATTATATTATCACTTATGTACTGTACTTGCCATAGTTCTGAGAATGTAATAAACAAATATATGATTCTAATTCAAAATAAACATATTTTGGAAAATACACTTTAATTATTTGTTTATTTAAATATAATTAACGTTCTTAAAAAGAAAACAAAATTTAAATTTGACAAAAAAGAAAAAAAAAACAAAATTTCCTATTTATTTATCTTTGGATAATGATATATTGTCTGAAGATGAATAAATAGGCCATTATGGCATGAAGTTAAGAGTGGTGGATATGAGAAGAAAATAACTTGTTTAATTGCATATAAAAAGCATTTTAAGATTAACAGGATGTTAATTTTCACATATGACACGGGACCAGAAATTTTGTCCATTAAATCCAACTGGACTCACATGGTACCAAATATTTTTTCTGGTCTTGCAGGTTTTCTGCAGGACATCATAATTTAAAATGAATTTGATAGCTTGGTACTTTAAGATGAATATCATTTGTAAAGGTACTCAAAGTGTAATATTTCTGCACACATTTTATTTTATAAAGATATTTACAATATATTTTTTAGATATCTAATTAAATACATGAAATTTCTGTAATGTATATCATATACAGTATTTAATTATAAAATGACATAATAAATGGGCATTTATTTAGAAATAAAAAATAAATAATAATGTTTTTTTAATTTTATTTTAATCATTTTCATTTAAAAGTCATGAAGTTCACTTTTTATAATATAAGATGATCTTTATAAATTGTAACAATAATGATATTGCAATTAATTATTATGAAATACTAAATATTTTTTGTCTTAATATTTATATATTTTGTTTGCCTTATTATTATTATTATTTACATAATTTATATTGACTTAAAAAAAACACAGCAACAAGATCATGTGCTGGCATTAGATTACATTTGAATTGAGCCTCTCCCATGAGCTTGCATTTATACATTATACTGGTATACATTATGCAGATTGCATAATGTATACCAGTGTAAAATATTGGCAGATCCAAGAAGTGCATTTGGCAGGTGGTGATTTTGCTGATGTTGAGTGTTTTTGAATGCTGGTAGACATTTTTGGTATAGCATTTAGTGTACCAATCACCACAGGTACTATTTTGGCTGGTTTGTGCCAGATTTGCTGAACTTTGATCTTCAAATCTTGATATTTTGTGATTTTTCCTGTTCCTTCTCTTCAATTCTGATGTCTCCTGGTATGGCTATGTCAATTATCCACACTTGTTTCTCTTCAATGATGGTAATGTCTGGTATGTTGTGTGCTTGTCTGTTTGAATTTGAAAATCTCACAATATTTTGATGTCATTTTCAGTGACTTTTTTAATCTGATGTTCCCACCAGTTTTTAGAGGCAGGCAGATTGTAATTCTTGCATAAGTTCCAATGAAACATTTTTGCCACTGAATTATGTCAAAGATTGTAATGTAAATCATTAATTTTGCTAAACTAAAATAAACTTTAGAATGTATTCAAAAGAATTGAAATTGGGAGTTTTCAACAGAATCAAAATAAGGAGAAATTTTGGTATGGTCCCATGACTAGTAGAAACAAACATTATTGGTCATGTACAAATAATACAGATAAATAGAAGAAATTACAGTAAAAATAAAAAATTATGAATCCATTGCAGTTGCATATACTAGTTCCTGTCTAAATTTTTACTGAAAGGTTTCTCACTTTTTGGTCACATTTTACTCACTATTTCTGTCCAAAAACTTACTTTTTTCACTAGTTTTGACTTACATGTGTGCTATGAGCCCTGCATATAGCATGGCACAGGTGCCTAATGCTATGCCAGACCAAAATGAAGGCATAACTACAGAAAGAAATGTTTTGTTTATGTTCTGTTGTTTATGTATTTGTGTTAAGAATTTCCTGACTATCTGATATGTTTAGTATTGCAGCTTTTTTAGAGTGATGTATAATCTGTTGTGATGTCCTCATGTTTTGAAACTTTTGTGTAATATATATATGGTATTATGCCTGTTCAAGAAAGGACTACTGGCAAAATAAGTATCAAATTCATTCTCTACAGAAGCCTCATTTTATGGGCAAGTTCTATTGTTTATTATTGTTGTTTATTATTACAGAAATTGTATATAATACAAATATAATGAATGTAATTATAGTAAAATTGTAAATTTTTATTTTTAGTTAACTAAAAAACATCGCAATGGTCATATGATGAAAGTTGATTGGTTGGACAGATTGACATTTCGTGAAATAGAAATGATTCATGAACAGGAAAAAAGAAATTCTGACTTCATGTTTCTTATGATTGAATTTCCAAGAATAATTTATAATTGTATTGAATATACAGTTGTGTATTTTGAAAAGGTACTTATTATATTAATTATAATAATAACAACATTTAAGTATTTAACAAAATTTAAAGTAAATACTAAAATAACAATAATTATTTTTACTTAAAGTTATATATTCTTAATTAAAAACATCACAAATTAAAGATTAATAACAGTACAGGAAATCCTCATTAGTTAGAAATTCAAAGGATGAAATAATTGCAACTTTGAATTATTTAATGTTTACACATTTTTATACAATATGTCAAATGCTATGTAACATGTAATTTATTAAGCAAAGGGAATTTGGCTATGTACACAGACACATCATTTTCATTAATTAATAATTAATAATATAAATAAACTGCAGGTGAACAACATGTGTTTGGTGAGAACCTCACAGGTTGCAAGATATGCTTCATAAAAAAGTAAAACAGAATTCTCTAAATGTAGCCCAAATTTTTTTAAAGTAGTAAGTCACTCAAATCTAGTAGCCTAGAGCCCTATAAATATCTCAATCTGTTACTTGTAGCCCAATCTTGCAATCCTGAAATGCAGCCATATTGTATAAGAGAAAAAAGATAGTTCATAGGTAAGGAGAAACTCAAAAATGTGTTACTGTAAAAACTAAACCTTGTTAACTAGATAGTTGATGAGATTATGTCATATCTCTAAACTCACAATGCTGTCAACGGTTACACACCTTACAGGTATGAAGGATAACATGTCAGGAGTTGCAATTTAGCACAGAGTGTTTGGTGCCCAAATCATGCGCACATAAAATAAATCAGACTTGTAGGTAGTCGGGGAACTAAGAACGGGTCAAAATAAAATACAAAATGGTGAGACTGTTTCTATGAACAGGCGCGAGGGTGAGATTTGCGCATGCATTGCTTGTGCTCTCCAAGACATAGTCTTGTCTCAAAAATGGCTTTGCTGTTTTACTTGTTGTTTTTAGTCTATTGTTCTCTTATAGTTAGAGATACTTTGATCTAAGCAAATGAATATACTTATGTGTATCACAGTTCAGACAGAATATTTACTTTGAATTTCAAAGTAGCCATATTTCAAACTAACCAAATTCCTTAACATGTAAATCTCTATATCCTCGGCCAGGACAAGTAGTACAATTATGAATTAACGGGATTTTGAACTATCTGAGTTTGAATTAATGAGGATTTCCTGTATTTAAAATTCTTTCTAAATTACAAAGTATTATTTAAATTGTTTTCTTATATTTTTAAATTGGTTTTTATGTGATGATTGTTTTTATTGTGCACTTTTAATAGGATTAATTATTTAATGGGGCAGTTCTTTCTTGTCTATAAGCATATTCAATATAAAGGTTGAAAAAAGAATAAAAAATAATAAACAGTTTGATTCTGATTTATGAACACACATTGTTTTTGGAAATCTTTTGTAAATCAAAATCTAAGTGACAAATTTTTCCATTATTTTTTTATGGTCAAAATTTGTACATTGTTCTGACATAATCCTACTCATTTTCCTAATTAATAATAAAGTACTACAAAACTCCTATTTATCTACTATCTTCTTCTTCTCTCTGGCCCTCATAGTCCTTGAAGGACCTTGGCCTCATCCAAGATTTTCACCCATTCCTCTCTATCTTGAGCCTTCCTTCTCTAGCAGCTCACACCCATTCTTCTCAAATCAGCCTCCACATCCTCATTCCATTTTTTTCGTGATCTCTCTCTCAACCTTCTCCCCTCTGGTCTCTATACACTTGATACACCTTTCTCTCCGGGTCCATTCTTTCCAAATGCTCAATCCATCAAAATATCCCTCTTTTGATTTCTGTCACAATCTCAGAATTTTCATATAAATCTTCAAGTTCCTTATTACTTCTTCTCCACTCTCCTCCCTCTTGTACTGGCCCATATATTCTTTTCAAAATCTTCCTCTCAAATCGTCTCAACTGTTCTTCATGTTTACTTGTCAATGTCCAAGCCTTGGAGCCATACATGATTACTGGTCTTATAATAGTTTTATATATTCTGATTTTACTGCATCTTGATATTTCTTTAGATGTTAGAATTCGTCTTAAAGTATAATAGCTTCTATTTCCTGCTGTCACTCTTACCTTAATTTCTTCATCAATTTCTATCTAGTGATTCTAAATAAAATAAAATAAATAAAATGGAAGCATTAATTAGATTGTTTACTAATATAAAAGGAACTGATATGATGTAGGATCCAAAAGTTCTGAGACTGAGTATATACAGGAATGCATGTATATATTACACTCAAGGTGCTTTTTGGTTTAAGCTATGACAAATCCTATGCACAAAGAAGTGGTTTCATCCAAATAGGTCATGTGATCACAGTAGTATATATGGATATTGTAAATAAGGTGTTGAGTGCTCAGTAATTAGTGAAATTTGGTGTTTGTTGAGCAGATTCCCAAACCTTTGCCCAAATCAGTACAATACTTAATGTTTTGTTTGGCAAAGGTCCAACAGAAATCAACAACATATTATAGCAGGTTTATGACAACCAAGAGTTTTCAATTGGCATTGGTGGTTCAAGAAAGGCAGGGAATAAGTTGAAGATGACAAATATAGTAGGCATCCACTGATTTCTTGCACTGATGTAAACATTTCAAAGGTTGCAAGAAGAGGCATCAACTGTGGGCTGATCAATTATGAGTGCTGTTAGACAGCAACATTCCTGCTCACAGGTTGCTTATGGTCTCTGATTTTCTCACCAAAAGAAGTACTATTATCCTCCCATATTCACCATTCTCACCTGACCTCACCCTCTGCAAATTTTACCTCTGAATTTTACATGGTTTCTGAGCTGCCATGTTGACTTTAGGGTTGTCAGTTTGCATAGAAGTGAAGAATGCAACACTAGTTGAACTGAAGAACTGAACAAAGGAGACATTCTAGAAGTGCTTTCATGACCTCTACATCCACTGACAGAAGTGTATTGTTGTAAGGCCACTTATTTTGGAGGAGGATATATTTCAGTATTCTAACAATTATAGGTCTCAAAAGTTCAGTTACCCAGTCCCTGAACTTTTGAATCCTACTTTGTATGAAATAAAAGAAAGCATATACATGTATGTTTTCTCTCATCTCATATGATGTATGTATGTACTGTACATAAGATATCAAATATATTTTTAATTAAAAGTATGAAAACAAAAGTTAGTTATGATCAATAAATAAGCTGGAATCAATAAAAATAGAGTAAGATAAAATTGTTTTTTTAATTAATGAAATTGTGATCACTGAAAAGAAAAGATTGGTTCGCTGAAATGAGTTAGTTGTTACAAGGTTTTGTTAGAAGTAAGTTGATGGCAATTGTTGTTTTAAAAATGAAGACATATTGTGAATGAAACAAAGAAAATACAGACGCGGATGTACAAACATTATAATTGGAACAAATGGGAATTTCAGTTTTGTATTCATGATTAGAAATATTTTGTTCTTGAAAATATTAGTTATTGCTCATTGTGTGAAATTTTCATAAATTTAATATTTATAAGTATAGATCTTACTTATATATTTTTCATATGAGTATATACATTTAAAGGATATACCACTAAGATTAAAAATATGTAATAATTAGTAACATTTGAATTATGATTTTAATTATAATTATTATAAATTATAAACTTTTCATTTCAGGATGGAGATGAAAGTTGTCAATATCCAAGTGAAGGTACAATTATTGCTGTTCCAGATCTTGAAATATCTTTGGTAATTTACAACTATTCATAATTATTAAAACATCAGAATGTAAAGTAATAATACAAGTTTAGATATAACAAGTTTATAAATTATAACAATTTTAATTTATACTGTAAAACCTCGTTATTTCAATATTGGATAATTCAAAGTCAAGTTTAGTCTCTGGCCAAAAGAATAGGATTTTGCATATATTTTACTTCAGATAATTTGAAATACATATACAATGAAATTCAAAGTCATTATCTGGTTCAGATGACTTGCAAAAATATCATTTAATTCAAAATCTTTAATAATAATATGTTTATAAGAAAGTTTCCATGCCCAAAGTGGTGATTTTGGTTTTACCAATTATACATTGTTGATTTATTGGACATCCATTCAAGATCATTTGGACATTGTACACATTGCCAATGAAGTGTGAGGCCGGGACAACCCACCCCCTTTGGATGGAAACCGGCTGTTGAGCTAAAGTCAATATATCGGTGACTTATTATGTAAATAGGACCAGTGTGACCAAGGAACAGGGTGTGAGACAATTTAATTGTCGCATTCCAGACCTAATTGACAAATCCGCGATCGTCAGTCGTGAGAACGAGTGAGGGATCGACCGTCAGTTGAAACTTTGGACAGTCACCTTACAGAGAGTTCAAAGTGAGACCTGCTGACACTCCTGTGAAGGTGTCTGGGACAGCTGCCTCCTCTCCAGGACAGAAAAACAGACATTAGGTAAAATTTACAGGTCCGTCATCCAGGAAAGGGCTTGACCCAACTTTGGAGGGGAATGGCCTGGACGGGGATATTCGGCGACCCCGTGGCCCGAATTGCATCCCTGGCAACAAAACCAGGGACCAATAGAATCGCAGGGGACCAACATTTGGACCAACCAAAATCTCAGGATTTCGGTAAGACAAAGATTATAAAAGCCTGAAATCCCAAGGATACAGGGAGGTGGTGTTCGAAGACGTCGATCCTTGCGTACGGACGGTGGATGCTCTGGCATTTTGGAACAGAGATACTGAAGGGACCCCAGAAGAGGAAGGACTGAGGAGATATCAAATAACCTCAGGACACAAGAGAAGAAAGGGACTCAACTTCCCGACGACGTTCTTGCCTCTCCAAACTCCCCATACCTGGACCTACGGAGATCATCTACAGAGAAACATATGGCTGACGGATATTTGCTGGTTGGAAATCTCACTTGGAACCTTAGGAGGAATACATACAGTGACTGGACATCTTTTTGGCCCAATCTGTAAGCATGAGGTCTTTGTCAAATAAACGCATTCAAGTGTAATTATAATTACGGTCTGTGTGAGTCTCTTTGCGTCCAGCAAACCACTACCCCCATACAAAAAGGGCTTTCTAATGTCATCCTGACAGATCACAGGAAAAGCGAGCATGTTCACCTTTAATGGAAAGGTCAACACCTCCTCACCTCACGGCCTGTGAGGTGAGGGGGTGTTGACCTTTCCATTAAAGTGTTGGGTGTTGACCTTTCCACCTCACGGCCTGTGAGGTGAGGAGGTGTTGACCTTTCTGTTAAAGGTGAACATGCTCGCTTTTCCTGTGAATGTTCACAGTGGTGTCTACAGCTCCTCAAAAACCCCACAGAAGAGAGAATTTTTTTTTATTTTAATGGAAGAAATCTGTTTGGCATTTAATTATTTTGGACATTTTTCACAGAAATTTATTGTTTCAATAATTCCAAAGTCCATTAAATGTGTATATTCATGATAGAATGTATATTTATATCTTTAGTCATTAGTAGAGCCATTTTCATACATTATTTCCAGATCTTCCAGATCATACATTATTTCCAGATTTTCAGTGTTTTCATTAAGTACATGCCAACTGACAGTTTTTTCAAAATAGCTTAAATTACCAAGTAAAATCTTGTAATATTAATGCATTTGTAAATGAACAGGTGAATTTATATAAGATAGTGTCATAATTTTATTCAAGAATTACAAAAAGCTTCGATTTGACAAAAAAGTTTGGATAATTCAAATTTATATTTTTGGTCTCTTGAGTTTTGAAATAATGAGGTTTTAGTGTATTTATAAAAATTGAAAATAATTTGGATTATAAAGTTAAAATGCAATCAATATATATATTTTTGTTTATATCGACTTTTGAAACAATTTGTAATTATAAAGAATTTGCTGGCTTTAATTTTAATATTATTAGAGTTGAAGATTGCAAAATGATTTAAAAATAAAATGTTATTTATAATTATTGTAATTTTTTGTGTATTACTCACATTGGCATATTATGACATATTATCTGCATTAGTTTATAACTGACAAAGTTGCTAAAACAAAAACAAAAAAGCTGCATAACCTGCATCACCATAAACTCCACATCTCTGAAGTTGCCATTGAAAACATGTCACTTAATCCATGTATAGTTTAGAAAGTGTCATCTCAAACATTCTATTTTTTCACATTTCTTTTATTTCCATTAGTAATTCATTGTAGATGTAATTATAAAATATGATATGGAAAAAAGGAAAAAATATGAGACTTAATCTCTTAAACTGAATTAAGTATCAAAAATATTAATAATAGTATTAATTATTCCTGTTCAAGTAAACATCATTTTCCTTATATGGCAAGGCTGTGATGAATTGAAATTGTCAAGGCCATCCAATAGGATGTTAAAATTTTCTTTGATCATTCAATTATAGTTTAGAAAACATGCAAAAATTTATTTAACTAGTTTCTTCTAATTCAAAAGTTATTTAATAATATTTTAAATTGCATATAAATGTTACTTTAATTAATATAAAATGGATTTGTACACTCAAAACAAAAGCTAATAAAATGAATGGGTGATTATGCATCTTCAGTTTTAATTTTGTTAGCAAAATGGCAGAAAGTAATGTTATGTGTAAACAAAATAATTAATTATATGATCAAGGTAGAGATATTGTTTTAAATGTATATTATTATTTTAATTGTCAAAATTCACTTTAAGTAGTGATGAAAAGAGGTAGAGTTTCTAACCTATTAGAATTAGATTTATTTGAGTCATAAATAATTCTTTTCTCATTGGAAAGGCCATAAATATATAATGATGATAACTCTCTGCTATTCACTATATTGTTGAATTGGCAGGAGCTCAGTAGTTTCAATGAACAATAGGGCAATGTCAGTGGTAACGCAACCTTCTGGTAGGGCCATCTGTGCCAGTTAGGTTTATGAGGAGAAATGAAGCAAAGAGTGACTCTATAAGCAATGTCTCATTCAGCAATGTGGAAAACACATAAGCAATGTCTCATTCAGTGGGCAGCTGCCCACTGAATGAGACATTGCTTATGTGTTTTCCACATTGAGCAGCTAATTTATAAAGACTTGGCCTTTGGTATATAAACCTGTCCACTTCTGTAGATAAAAAAAAAATCAAGAAATATTTTGAAAATTGGAACATTTTTATCCAATAACATGCAATGAACCTTAAACATGCTTCCATCAGGAAAATATATTTTACTTTTTACAATAGCAAATGTTTTTGGCCTTTTTCAAAGGCCTGCATCTGGCTTACATAAGGAACATAAACACTAATTGGGAATTCTCAGTTTGTGTTTACATTTCTTCTTTATAAAGCTTGATGCAGGCCTTTGAAGAAAGCCAAAAACATTTGCTATTGTGAATATTAAAGCACACCTTCCTGATTTAAGAGTGTTTAAGATTCATTGCATGTTATTGCATAAAAAAATAGTTGTGACATGTTCTTAGTTTAACACCAATTCAGATATTGCCTGAGTTAACAAGGTCTGCATTTGTAAGTTAGACAGAAACTTCCATTTGAAAAATCTACCAGTTTCTCGTGGCTACCACTGGCAAACACAAAACTGATCCAGATATGTCTACTGCATCATAAACACATTAAATACCTCACTCATTCACAATGGATAATACACACTAATCCAGTCAAAGTGTTTCAGCAGCAATGTAGCCATTGACCACAAAAGGCCAGAAAACAATGCCAATGGATAAAGTACACCCAGGAAATGAATGAATTCATCATATTTACTATGCTATCATTAAACTAGAAACAGATATGATTGCTGATATAGAGACTCAAATTCACACAAAAAATATTGTTACAGAACAGAAAGTTGTTGATCAGAAAAGAACAATTGTATACAATGACCTTATTCCAGAAACAATACCCAAACATATACGGCCGATTGCAGAGACAGAGTTTACATTAAACGACGTTTACACATTGGCTCTTACTTCGCTATTACTCCCCTGTTTTAGGAGTCGTTCGGCCAATCGGATTATTTCTTCGTGACGTCAGAAATGGTCGTCAGCTATATTCCGAAAGCTTAAGGCCGTCAAAATCATTGTTCGGCAATTAATGACAATCCTTTTCTATTTCGTTATTTAATTTCGCTGCCAATACGATTTAAAATATGAACAAATCCATATTTAGAAAATTTATACCGAATTCGAAATTCGTCTTCGGAATAGATTTTTAAGGAATTATTTCGACATCTTATTACTGTCGAAATGAATAATTTTAAATATTTTATTATTAATATTACATTTTTATATCTATAAACAGATTTCTGTAATTATTAAAATTGTCTCGTTTGTTTAACAGTACAACGACCCCGAAATGCATTAACGTTTTATAACCGACACGATACTCAAATTGTAAATAAATGCATCTGATTTAATTGTAGTTTTAAGTCTTCACCCATTTGAATATCGAAATTGGAACATTTAAAACAAATTTAAAGTATTTCATTTTGTTGTTTTTGTTCCGAGCAGTTAATTAATTAATGAGTAATTTTGTCGATTCGTACCGTTTACAACATTTATCAAAGAAACGATGTCTGTTTTTATCTAAACTTTTCCACAAACAAAGCTACCACTCGAATTGAAAAGCCCTCTAAACCTGCTGTCGAGTGAGTCTAGAAAATAGGTCAAATAACTTGTTTCTAATCGCTGTCTACAAGACAGCGATTAGAAACAAGTTATTTGACCTATTTTCTAGACTCACTCGACCATTTCTGATGTCACGAAGAAATAATCCGATTGGCCGAACGACTCCTAAAACAGGGGAGTAATAGCGAAGTAAGTAAGAGCCAATGTGTAAACGTCGTTTAATGTAAACTCTGTCTCTGCAATCGGCCAATAGCTTCTTAACAGATACCTCTTGCCTGAATTAGTTTGTTAAATCCAGGTTTTACTGTATTCATAAACAATGAGATACTTTCCTACAGTTAATTACATTCTAAACACACCACAGATCATAGATTATCTTTGCTCTTTGTTAAAAGTCATTGACTTAGTAAGAAATTTGTAGTCAGTGTGTAAGCAAATTAAGTAAAATTTTGACCAGTAATACATTTAATAAAGAAAATATGTGCAGAGGCATAGCCTCTAAAGAAAGGTTGTCTCTGCAATGGAAAATAGTTGTTCCTGGTGATTGGACATGGAAAGCAATAAAGATAGGACTAGTATCCATCTGTAATGTAATTTTTACTTTATTAAATTGCAATTCTGCCAGCCCTTTTTACAAAGCAATAATATATTTATTTATTTATTCAAGCATACTGGTACAACCATGATATGGGGAGAAAACATACAAAAAATCATACCAAGACCATATAACATATCCATTAATACAAAACAAATATATACAACTTATAACTAAAACACAATAGTAAATCAAAAATTAAATTTATTCTAAATCTAAAAGTGGGAGAATTATCCAAAAAATAAAAAAATAATTACCAGAAAGCAAGGCTATATTTTACCTAGAAAATGAAAAATAATCAATTTAGTCTCTTATTCACAAATTGGATAGTCTCTCAAATATCCAAAGCTAACCACTGGTTAAATAATGTGCAAACCAGCCCCCAGGGTTTTTATAACCCCATTTTTTAATAATGTTTTTCTGTAATAATAAAATTACGAATTTCTTATATTTAATAGCTGATTCAACATACTTCCGTTGAATCTATATTGAAAAGTTTCTTAGAATGAAAAAAAAACCCAATAAAAATTATAATTACATGTGTGATTACTCACATAGCATATAATTATAACTCAGTGTTAATTAATTATTTTTATCTAAATAGCTTACATATATTAATCCATGCAATGTCATACTCAGTAAAAATTATGTATCAACAGAATTAATGCAAATTTTCTAACTGAATGGAACATCAATTATTTTCAGTGGAGATTCATTTTTACAAAGTAAAGAAGTTATGAAATCTAACTTAGTTAAAAATATACACCCACAAACCTTTTATGGTGTGACATTAAATAAAAATAAAAAGTTCTCACAAACATTTTCGAACCGACATAAGGTTCTCCATCAGGTGAAATAACTGAAATCGTAAAAATTATTCGACGGAAAACATAAAAATTTGAAAGTCTTGATTATTGAATCTAATGATAATTCCTGCGGCTGTCGTCATCAACGGACATGCACATTCCTCGGAAGCAAAATTTTTGTATTTTTAGTGTTGTGATAAAGTTTGGTTATAACTTAATTATTTTTATTCTAATTGACAACTTCATTTTATCCCACTTCACCATATCTTATTTGCAAGAATATAAAATGACTTCTTAAAATTGTGTTAGAGAATCTTTTAAGCTACAAAATCATTCTTTAATTTTAATGTATCTCATTTTATATGGCCTAGGTTTAACTAATGTTACCTGTAATTAAGATAAAACATTGAACAAATAAAGTATCAAAGTAATTTTATATGCTTTTCCCAACAAAAATAAAATATAAATAATAAATTATTATAAAATAATAGGTGTAAAAATGACAAGTAGTCATAATTAACAAGATAGATTACACTTACAGTTTTTATTATTTGTAAAAAGATTCTTTCCTGAGACTATATTGAAAACAGTGTTTTTAAGTTGTTTTAATGACTCTCCAGCAATGAGAAAAATATTGTAGCATTAATATTACTTCTTAGATGAGTTACCTCACAAACAAAACATCTTTCTTTGTTTGTTGGGAAAATTTTACAATTTCTTTTTTTGTGAGTTCCTGTATGAATAGCTTTAATGAATGATAGTCATTTGTAGTGTATAAAAACAAGCTAANTTATTTTAGGAAAAGATGTTAGGCATAATAAAAATTTTATTTTTTGGTTTTCATGTAGGAAAATTTGGTAGAAGGCAAACATCACAAATTAGCAAGAAGTATTAGAAGTGGATTAAGTGATAAAGATTTGAAACCAAATGCTGCAGTAAGAGATCAGCTTAATGTAAGTAATAAATAGTGCAATAATTTTTTAAGCAGTAATTTTGAGTTTGATATTGTGATATATTAATAGTAACAGTGAAAAAACTTTGGCATATTAATGGAATTAAATCCTGTTTTTAGACATTAATAAGCATTAATTAATGTCTGGAAACAAGAGCATTAATTTTTTTTTAGATTCTTTAAATTATCTTTGATTTGTTGTCCTTTTTATATATTTTGGTATGAATTTATTTTATATCTTACTTCTTTTTTTGTACTATGAAAACATTATATTGATAGTAATTTGTAACTTGTTAAAATATTTTTTTTCTTTGGTAGAAATAATGCAATTTGAATTGTAAAAGCCTTACTGTCCTTAAATTTTAATATTTTATTGTTAATTGTCTACTTGGACTTTACTTATTAATAGGACTTTATACTGGTGTCTAAAGATCGGCACAGTACTGAGAGTTAGTTCAGGAAAGAACAAAATTTCTTTATTATATCACCTGTAGTAATAATTTCTGTTATATGTGTTTTGGGCTAGCATGTCTCTCATCAGCAGTATTACCACTTAACACTAAAAGTAACAACAACAAACAGATAAGTTACTGTATAATTTAAAAATTTTTCCTTTAACAATAAATTACAATTTTAAAACTTACTGTAAATACATATTCCAATCCAGGATATAAATGGATCTTTCACATTTTTTACAATTAATCATTTCACTATATAAATTAAAATCTTATTAAAAACAGAAATTATTACTACAGGTGATATAATAAAGAAATTTTGTTCTTTCCTGAACTAACTCTCAGTACTGTGCCGATCTTTAGACACCAGTCCTATTAATAAGTAAAGTCCAAGTAGACAATTAACAATAAAATAATGCAATCTGAACTTCATCACATCTTTGAAAACCTGTTATCTAATCATTAATATATTAATAACATCATTTACATTATAATATTTAAAAAATGCATACTAAATATTTTAGATGTTGGTCTCATAAATCTTTAAAAATCAAACAACGAATTATATTGCCATATTATTTTATCATTAGAACTAGGAACATCTAGCACTAAAAATCATATAAGTTATAACCTATAACTCATATGACTTTTAGAACTATTTATATGATTTTTAGTGCCTAGATACTGTAGCCTTATTTATTATTTATAATAATAATAATAATAAAATTTAAAATACTATTTATTTAGTGACTTGGTTAATTATATTTTTGTTCCTCAGAAGATTCAAAATGTTTCTTAATGTCTTATGACTAGTGGGTCCAGTTTGTCTTTCTCAAAAGAAAATCTAGAAATGAAGATAGATGAAGCATGCTAGCATATCATCATTTTTAAAAAATTTTTTTAGTAGAAATGTTAGATCTATAAAACTATCTTTAAAACATTTGAAAGGGATGCTTTCTATGTGCTATGTTAAGTTAGGAAACATTATTTCTTTAATAATTTAACATGAATTTTACTTTTGAGAAATTGTTGGAATTTGAATCATTTTAACTTATGTCAAACTTTATTAAATGTTTGTTAACTGAAAGGTTTTACTAACAAGGGAACTTACAAGCTTTAACATGAGAAATTATTGTTTAAACTTTTCAGTGTGCATTATCTACCAAGTTCTATAAATTAATTGCAACGAATAGTTGTAAGCAAGTGAGTAAGACAGTAGATTGAAAAGCTTGATGATGTGGTTTGATTCTGCTTTTTCCAACTTTTTACCCACAATTCTTTCTGATGTGTGCAATCCAATCAATTATTAGAAAATATATTTGGCTCAAAAATATCAGTCTTTAATTATCAAAAATTATTTGCATATTTTTAAATCAACATTTATAAGAAAAGTGCTGATTCAATAAAAAAAAATTATTTTAAAATTCTTCAAGGAATTTCATTTTTACTCAATATTATATACTGGTCAATACTTTCCTGCAGTTTTAAGGTTTTGTTTGTAAGAACTGCATGAAAATTGAGTAGTTATTTGCTAGTTTTATATAAAGTGCAGATAAATTTATGTAATTGTTGCTTCTGTAGCTTCTGTTCTATCATTTTCATTATTTCAATTTAGCATAAATTTATTTTTATTACAAATTTATCACAGGAACTTTTCAGGCAAATGGTAAAAAAAAAATATATTAATTTATATGCCTCTGTGTCCTTATTATACAGTTTAGTATGTAAAATGTCTACTAGGACTTAATTTATTAATAGGACTTATTATACCGGTGACCTGGTTGTGCAAATTTAAGGAAAACTAATAAAAAAAAAAACACGGTCTTTATTTTTCACCTATACACATTTTACAAGATATACAGTAGAGCATCGATTTTCCGAATCAATTGGGGATTGGGGTTGTTCGTATAACTGATATTTCAGATAACCGATTTATGTACGAAAAAATAGTTTAACATATCCGATGTTGAAATTTTTCTCCGTTGCATGTCGCTTTGCGTTGAATTTTCATCGATGTTAAGCCTAACAAAGACTATTGTATTGTTAAAAATTATTTTTTTATTTTGTACAAACAAAATAAATACAGTAGAACCTCGATTATCCGGACCTCTATTATCTAGATTTTCGATTATCCGGATTGCTCAAAATAAACAAAAATTTTACAAATTTGCTGATTTGCACTTGTCAAATTACGACACTGTTTATGTACGTGTTGGAATGCATAACATTTTTTGTTTCAACAACGTCTCACCCAGCACAGTGGTCTTAAATATATTTTGCATCGTAATAAAAATATAACTTGACATACGTATTTATAAATAATTTATATTCAAATTACATCATTTTTATGACCAAGGGCAGTGTAAGGCATAGGCAACGTGAGCCACCGCCTATGTCTCACGGTCTGAAGGGCCTCGTGCCTCGAAGGTTTATGCATTACTTAAAAGCCGAAAACGCGACAAAAAAATTTTACTCGTCATAAAACGATAAATAGTTTGTCAAATTTTTATTCATAAAAATGCAGTTTCAATTGCCTTTTATTTTATAAAATCCGTCTTCTTGAGCAACCAGAGGGCCTTTTAAACAATAGGTAGTCTGTTAGCGTTGGTCAGTTGTAGTCCAAATTCAATACGAACGTTTGTTTCTTGAAAATTTGATCACGATTTAAATACAGTATTTATTTTTAATATTACTGATATGTCATCGAAAAGAAAACGTGTTGTATTATCATTAAAAGACAAATTAAAGTATTTGTTTCGATTATTCGGATTTTTCCTTATCCGGACTACCGTTATCCCCAATTAGTCCGGATAATGGAGGTTCTACTGTATATTGAAAAATATAAAAACAATAAAAAATTATACTTCAGATGTTAATTTAGTATCAAAAACGTAAAATATTTGAGTAGCCGAAGACATAGCCAAAGATTGAAGCACCACAGCACTGGCGAAAATTTAAATTTGCCGACTGGAATTCTTTTGGATGATTGACTTTCGGAAAATCGACGCTCTACTGTAATTGTGTTTCGAGATTTTTTGTTCAAGTATAGTAGGAATACAATGCATATATTTGGAAATATGATTGGATTTATCCTGTTATTAATTGTAAATATCGATGTACTTGATATTCATGATACTAAATTGTTGGCTGTACCTGCTGATGAGGGACTGACAAGTCCGAAACACAATTATATCGTGTTAAACGTGTACAGGTGAGAAATAAAGACTGTGTTTTTTCTGATTTGGTTCCTTAAATTTGCAGAACCAGATCACTGGTATAATAAGTCCTATTAATAAATTAAGTCCTAGTAGACATTTTACATTCTAAACGGTAAAAAATAGACTTTATTTGTTACAGAATATGTATTTCAGGTGTTACATCCCTCATCAGTTCTCATGAAGGGTCTGCATATTCTGTAACAGATAAACTCTATTTTTTATCATTTACGTGAAAAGTTCCTGTGTGATAAGTTTGTTATGTAATCTAAGATTTTATTGACAAATCTTTCATATCTATTCAATTAACAAAATTTTATTATATATTTAAATAATAATGACCATACAAACAATTTTGGGTTACTTTAAATCTTTTATCCTTTTTTAAAAATTCAGCCAGAGACAGATGGTAAACAACTTGAAAGATAAATACAGTTCTTCGTTAAAATTACCCACAATATGGCATTAAAAACACATACTTAATACACTTACTACATGACTTAAGAATTTTATTATTTTTAATAGTCTAATATTATTTTGTGTTTTTTTTTTTGTCTAGTAATTATATTCGTATATTTTATGATTAGTACATTGTTATTTTTTATATTAAAATAATTTAATTTTTTTAAGCTTAGGTCAGTATTTTAAGAATGGAAATCAAATAGGAATATTAATAAAACAATAAGGAGGCAAAATGGAAATTTTTATTAAAATCATTTTATCTCAGATTACTAAAATTAATATATTATTGTTAAATACTACAAAAAAATATGGCATTAAATAAATAAAAATATTTACCTTTGAAGAAAATTGTGTATTAATCTGAATAGTTTCTTCCAAACTTTTATTAATTTCATTTTTTAAATATTTTCGAATATTTTACTTATTTGTTACATATAAATGAATCTGATTATTATTAGTATACTGTTAACATGTTTTGCATATGAATATTTAAAGTATAACAAAGGAATTCTTTTCATAGGGTATAGTAACTTATCCTCCTACAAAAGTTCTTACATCTGAGGAACAAGATCTAGTGTGGAAATTCAGATTTTATTTGACTAGTCAGAAAAAGGTAATTTTTCTGGAATAAATTAACTGTAAAATTTTATTAGAGGTAAATGAATGGAATGTATATATAAATTATTGTTATTTATGTTTTTTAATAATTGATTTATACTTAAAATAATATAAAGAAGAAATTTAAAATACATATATCATTATTATATTTTGACAAGTACATAGAAAAAATTTATAGAAAATATCTTAGGCTGTAGCTAACAGTTATAATTTTTAATTACACTACACATTCTATAATTTGAAAGTGTGTGGAATGCTGTTAAACATTCTAGAATCTTTTTTTTGCATTTGATTTTCTGCTTCTTTCAAAATGGCAATGAAAGATGCTGTAAGAGTAAAAATGTACAACTTTTAATGCATTAATAAAACACTAGGAAAAGAGTTTACCATAAACCATTTTGCAAATGAAATAATTTCAGAATGGATTATATATTACATTTCCCAATTTTTGGAAATTGTCTTATCACTGTAGAGAAGAAAGGGGTCTGATCGACAAATGAAAATGCTAAGGAAAGCCAAGTTGGAAGGGTTAAAGTGGACCTTTGAAGATAACAATGTTTCAATTTGATTGTAGCCCTGAGACTGAAAATTTTACATAGTTGGCTCCATGAAGCTTTAAAAACAAAAACACATTAAATATTGAAAGAAGCAGATAAATCCAAAGTGAATGGTCACACAAAGATCACTGGCAAAGCCAAAGTGCAAAAGGTTATTGAAAAAGTTATCTGAAAAGGTCTTCATTTTGGATAATGAATCTCATTTCACCTTCTTGTACTTGACAGTCAACAGTAATAATGGATTTTATACCAGGGATATCTCTACACCTGCTGATGTAAAACTTTCCAAGAGAAAGAAATTTGAGGGCAAAGTTTTGGTTTGCATTGCAGTGGAACTGAAAAGATTAAGTCAAATCACAAAATCAATGCTCAGCAATAAATGAATGTATATTGTGTCAATGGATGACTTCTGATTGCTGGTTAATAAGTAAAGAACATGTAACTCGATAACCTAAAAAACTAGGATGAAAATCAAATTATCAACATAAAAATATAATTAAATTTACAATTAATTAATAGAAAATAAATTCCAGGATGCAAATTAAACTACCTTAATAAACAAACTCTATTAAAGATTAAAAATGTAATGTAAGTCACAAGATTGCAACTATCCTGTGGCCCCATGTATACATAAAATTTATAAATAAGATTTTTACATATGATTTGTTACATTAAATGAATATCACTTGCAATATTATTTCTTTATACATCAGTAAATGAAGCTAATTCACAAACATCTAAATATATTCATATTATATGAAATCATTTAAAAGGAAATGCTTCTTATACAAGAAATAGAGAGATTTAAAAGTTGAGACTTATTTGATTTTTTAATAAAGATTCATACTGTTTAAATAGTTTAAAATCTATACTTATTTATAATGAAAAGTGAGAGACATTGGAAAACAAATTTTTAATAAAACTTTTATTGTTCAATTCTATTTTGTAATCTAAAATATTTTTTATTAGTTTATTTTATTGAGGTTGAGGCTTTTTTGTCTTCTAAAATTATTTCAGGTAAAATGATTTTGTATATCTTGCCTTCATTTTCTGTAGATTAAGCATCTTCATTTTTAATAATATTTTTTAGATTGTCACTGTAATATGTTAGTTCAGTTATTCAAAAAAAAATTTTTTTTTCAATTTTTAATTGAAAATAAATTTGTGATAAAATATTGGTTTGTTTGGAAAGTGCATAATGATTTTTAAAAGAAATCTTTTATTTCTTTTAAAAAGCATTATGCACTTTCCAAACAAACCAATATTTTATCACAAATTTATTTTTAAAGAAACTGTTTTAAAACTGAAAATATAATTTTATTCCATTACATATGTGCCATTGTTTTTAATGACATGTTGCCATCTATGGGGGAGCTTCATGGTTCCCTCTTCATAGAACTTTCCAGTTTTTCCCACAAAAAACTGATCCACGTGGTTTTTGCAAGCTTCCAAAATGTCAAAGTTTTTATCATGAAGGAAATTTTGCAGAGAACGGAACAAATGGTAGTCCAATGGGGCAAGGTCGGGTGAGGTAAAACATCTCAACTTAGTTCCAATAATTTTTAGTGTGTTTGTAAAGACGTGTGTGGTCTGGCATTATCTTGGTGAAAAACAATGCCTTTTCTATTGGCCAAGTTCTGGGCATTTTTCTTTAATTGCCATGTTCAGTTTATCCAATTAGGAACAATACTTATTAGAATCAATTGTTTGATTCTGTGGAAGCAGTTCGTAGTACAGGACTCCTTTCCAATCCCACCAGACTGTGAGCATGACCTTAGGATGAAGACTGGCCTTTTGAGTTTTTAATGGTGGTTCATTTTTCTTACCCCATGATCATTTTCGGCTAATGTTGTTATAAACGATTCACTTTTCATCACCTGTCACTAAACACTTCAGAAAAGAGTCATTTTCATTTCGTCTTTCAAGAGAATCACAAATGGAGATGCAATCCAATAAGTTTTTTCCATTAAGTCATGAGGTATCCAAATGTCATAATGATTTACATATCCGAGCTTCTTTAGATGTTGAAATATGGTACTATTTGATGACTTCCCTATGTGCAATTTCTTGAATTGTATAATGAGGGTTTTCATCCAATAATGCTTTGATCTGGTCCTCTTCAATAACGGGAGGTCTTCCTGAGTGTGGAGCATCTTCAAGGCTGAAATTACCTGCTTTAAATTTTGCAAACCACTTTCGAATAGTTGATTCTGCTACAGCACTCCCACCATAAACATCACATATCTTTTTTGCAGTTTGTACAGCGTTTTTGCCTTTACGATTAAAAAAAAGAAACAAGTGTCAATAATGCATGTTGTTTGCATCCATTTTTGCAATGAGACAAATTAAATGATATTTGAATAATCTTAACAGTTTTTTTTTTTTGTAACAGACATGTCTCAAGGTCATTTATCATAATATTCATTGGTTTGTACAATTCTAATCATTTTCACATCAGTGTTTCAACTGTTGGCTATCAAAAATCACTACGAACTTTTCGAACAACCCAATATATCTTTAAAGTCTTTAATCTCTTTCAACTAATTATTAATATATTTAATTTAACTAATCAAAATCAAGCATTAATGATTTTAATAAATAAATAAATAATAAACTTACTGGATAATGTATAACTAAAAACACAACACCTTATTAATCCAGCAATATTTAATAAGATAATAATAACGTTTTCGACTGTTTTAAACAGCCTTCATCAGTTAAACTATTTCAAACTAAAAGAATGCTAAAAATAGAATACAAGTTTTTAAAAACTCAAATTTCAACGTAAAACGCAGTCGTATAATAAAAACGTACAAAAAATGCGCATACGATTCTTATCGGAATAAAAATAAAATAAAAATACACATAATTGAATTTTTTGCCGCAATAATGCCTATTATAAATTACCATTATGTGCTATGGTAAAATGATTTCCATGCGGTGGATAAACAATCCGCATCCCTGTGGTTAATACAGCCTGTGTTAATGTGGGCTTTGTATATTTCCAACTTCTCAAGATACTTCAGCGCCTGTTTGTTATCTTGAGAAGTTGGAAATATACAAAGCCCACATTAACACGGGCTATATTAACCACAGGGATGCGGATTGTTTATCCACCGCATGGAAATCATTTTACCATAGCGCATAATGGTAATCTTATAATAGGCATTATTGCGGCAAAAAATTCGATTATGTGTATTTTTATTTTATTTTTATTCCGATAAGAATCGTATGCGCATTTTTTGTACGTTTTTATTATACAACTGCATTTTACGTTGGAATTTGAGTTTTTAAAAGCTTGTATTCTATTTTTAGCATTCCTTTAGTTTGAAATAGTTTAACTGATGAAGGCTGTTTAAAACAGTCGAAAACGTTATTATCATCTTATTAAATATTGCTGGATTAATAAGGTGTTGTGTTTTTAGTGATTTTAATAAATGTGTAATTATTTACAGGCTTTGACAAAATTCTTGAAATGTGTCAATTGGAATTTAGCTGGAGAAGCTAGACAAGCTTTGGAATTATTAAGTTGTTGGCAAGCTATGGATGTAGAAGATGCACTTGAATTATTTTCCTCTCAGTTTACTCATCCAGCTGTTCGTCGATATGCGGTTACACGTCTTCAACAGGCTCCTGACGAGGTATAGTACTTTAATGTTAAAAAAATTATTTTTAATTTAAGATGTATAAAAGATTTATGTTGTAATTTGAAATAAACTTTAATTTTTTTGCTGTTTTTATCAATTGAATAAAATTTCATATCACTTATGTATTAAATAAAATATATACAATTTCCATCTGATTAGAATTGAAAATTAATAACAAAAATTTTTGTTATTAATAAACTGCTAATTGACACCAATAAATAGATTTTTGATCAAACTCTTAGTTATTGTGATGTACATTGATACTAAACTGCAGGATGAAATATATTTTAAAATATTACAAATTAAAGAATTAAATTTTATTATCTTAAATTTTAGCTACTTGAATAAATTAAAAATAACATGATAAAATAATAAGTATTTTAATAAAGCAAATATTAGATTTTTTAATATAACAGTAAATAGTTTTTAAGATGAACAAAGTTATTTAATAAAATCATTGAATATTAACTGTTGTAATTGCTTTTTGTATTATTACATATTTTTTGTGTGTGTTAATGATTAAACTTAATTTTGCTTTTATGGCATATCTAAATTTTTCTCTAGGATTTGTTACTTTATTTACTACAACTTGTACAAGCTTTAAAATATGAAAATTTTGATGAAATCAAAGCTGGTCTTGATGTGAGGCGAGAATCTACTGCAACAATACAACCAATAGACATATCTTCGTCAATAACTGTTACTGATAAAGATAGGTAATAGTAATTTATTTAAACAATTAGAAAAACATTTTTTATAGTCATAATAAGAATCTTATTTTATTATAAAATTTTATAGTAATATAGAAATTTAAGGAGATATATACTATGTACCATTTAAATAAATTCTCTAAAATTTGACTTAAAATTATATCAAAAATATTTTTTAATACATTAAAAAATTTATTAAACTCTTAAATGCATTTGGATTATTTTAAATTACATAATAGAAATTTTAAACTTATCAATAGATTTTAATCTATAAATATTAAATTACTTTAATCATTATTTTAATATTACTTTTTATCAATATAATTCTACAGATAATAATCTGTAGAAAATTTTGTGATGATGTAAAAAATATAGAAAAATATAATTAGATATACATTTTTAATTTGATTGCTTTCCTAAACTAATTCGAAAATAAAACCTTTTATATCTTTATAATAGATTGCATATGTTATGCCAAATGTGAGAATCTTTCATTTCATGAAATAAGCAAAAATTTGCAAAATTGGCAAATCAACTGCTGATTTTATGAATTAGGAATATTTTACAAAAGTGACTAATTTTGAATTGCCCATTTTATGAAATTGCAGGGTCTGTATAGATCTGGAAAGTCAGGAAATAAGATTTTTAGCAAGAAAAAATAGAGAATGGCATCAAATATCAGGGAAAGTCAAGGAATCCACAAATTCCACAAAATCTGTCTGTTGCACTTGCTCCTTTTAGACCTGAATATGTCTTTAAATTAGTGATGTAACGAATATTTGGTTACTGTTTGGTATTCAGCCTATTTTTCGCTATTCGGCCGAATACCGAATATTTAATCACTATTTGGCCGAATACTGAATACCTAAAAACAGGAGTAAGAAATAACAAAAACACATTAAATTAATCATTTTGGTATTTAGATTTAATGTTATCGGGTTAGTGTTGTTTGTTTATATTTATTTATAACTTATAACATGCACAAAATAAAAAGAAAATAATATTAGTCACATGTATTCAGAATTTATAATTACAAAGATCAGCACATGTTCACACCTATTCTCCAACGAATAGGTGTGTACATATTGTGTCGTGTCATGTACGTGTGTGTACGTCACACATCTGAGGGTCTGACCCTGACTATCTTTCTTTTCAAGTGCTCATCTTTGCTCTTCCCTTTCTGTTTCCTCTATTGCTCTAGTCCATGTATGCCTATGCATACATCATAATATGCGCTCACGATACATTCGATTCATCACTTTTCCATCGTAGATTTCCCATTTTACAATTACGTGACTCATAGCCTGATGATAACAGAGAAAAGAGATAGATAGGACATCGGTATAAGTCATAGTTATGATTTCACAGATTTGAGACAGCTTGGTAGCCTGAATGGCCCCAGGCTTTTGTCCATGTACGCTAAGTGACTTTAATTACAAGCATTTAGCTTTCCGAAGTCTATGACAACAATTGTTTGGCATTGATGGTCGCGAATTTCGCGCCAATAAGCTGCCTTGACTTGTTCAATTATGTTATCAACTCAATTTCATATTTATTTTCACATTTTCACTTCGCAGTCCTTCTCTCTTCTTTTTCTGTTATTTACACGTGTAGGTCATTTCATTGTTATCCACATCTGATATCATCACTTATCACATACTGCCATGACGCTCTTGTCTGTCCAGTACAACTGTCAAGAATTAACGCGATTGGCGAAGTGTAGTGACAGTGGGCAATTAGAGAGCAGAGTCCTTGCCATAATGCGGTTTGCGTGCCAATTTTCGTATGTGTGTTAATCAAGCTGAATAGTTTGGCCGTATATTTGGCCATTTGGTCATGCTTTTGGCAATAGTATATTCGGCCTCAGGCTGAATACCGAATATTCGGCCTGAGGCCGAATATACTATTCGTTGCAACACTACTTTAAATTCAGTTCAGTATGGGGTCTACAAAAACTGGAGTGACCAAAAGAATGACGAGACTTATTGCACTTATATCTTGTTAAACTATAAATGATAATCTAATGGTTAAAATTTTGTTGGATAGAGAGTTTATGTTCATATTTAAATTGGTAGGTAGTGGTGGTCTGTAGCTGTGAGAGGGGTTTGCAGATACATGTGAACACTGAAAATAGTGACACTGCATGGTGCTTGCACAGTGTCTGTATGACTTTGGATTGCAAAGAGATATGATATTGAAATTGGTGTTGGTTTGTACAGAATGATAGGATCTACAATATTATTTAGCAATAATAACTGATAAAATTAGAATTTGTAAAGTTATAAGCTGATAAGTGTGCAAGTTGAAGAAAATTTTCATAATGTCAAAGAAATTGCAAAGGAAATATGAACAGAAATGTGAGAAATGTCTGTCATTGGAAAGAAATATTTAAAATGAATCAGAAAAGCCCAAATGACTAATGCTGAACAATGCAGATTGTATAGAGAGTGTAAGAAAATCAAGCGTGCCAACTCTGACGCAAAAAGTTTCCAAATATATAAATATACAGTGTATATATATACATATATATACAGTGTAATTACAGTATATATATACAGTATAAATACAGTGTATATATATATATATGTATATATATATATATATATATATATATACACATATACATATATATATATATACACTGTATTTATTGTAAAATACAATAAATACAGAGTATATACAGTAGAGCGTCGATTTTCCGAAAGTCAATCATCCGAAACGTCAATCATCCGAAAGATTTCCAGTCGGCAAATTTAAATTTTCGCCAGTGCTGTGGAGCTTCAATCTTTGGCTATGTCTTGGGCTACTCAAATATTTTACGTTTTTGATACTAAATTAACATCTGAAGTATAATTTTTTATTGTTTTTATATTTTTCAATATATTTATTTTGTTNCAATTAGATGGGAAAGTTGACACATAGGTGTCAAAAATGCACCGTTATTGTTAACAAAAGTATAAAAATATTAGACTTGGAATAGTAGAAATTGAATTAAAATAAATAAATAATAAGAAATAAATGATTGAGTAAATAAATAAATACATTATAAGTATTTATGAATTAAAAAAAAATTATACATGAGAATCGAACCCGAGAACTCAAGCTTATGAATCAGACTTGTTACCACTCTGCCACAGGACACTCGAATAGAAGTACGTATAATTTATATATAAAGTGCTAACAAAACTTTAAGTTCGATTTTCTCAATTATATTTGAGTATTGCACTTTAGTATTTTACAGGTAGTACACTCACATCGTGTACCTCTACACCAAAGATCATCAAAATCCATTACCCCAAAGCCGTAGGCTCTCCTTGTTAGAAAAATATACATCTATAATATTTATATCAGTATGAATATGAATATATATATATATATATATATATGCATATATTTTTTATTTCAAATAAAATAAATTTGCTTATTTTATTATCTTCCCTTTGTTATAGAAGAGCTCAAATTGAATATTTTCATTTATAGATGGCAGAAAAATAGCAATATTTTATCTTTTGTAGCAGTTATGTGTTTTAAATTTTTATTATTATAATAAAATATTTAAATCATAAAAATTATTAAGTTATCTAATTTATTTCTTTATTTTTATTTTATCCCTGCATATATTGAAAACATTTGTATTCTATGTTGTTAAAATTTTTAAGTTTTTTCCATATGATCAAATGATGTAGTCTTTAAATAAATATTGTTAAAAGTATTTTATTAAACCAAATTAATATTTTTATTATATTTTAAAAATAATTTAAGTGGGTTTAGTTATATTACAACAATGTACAGTACAATAAGTATCTAAACAATATACAATATATTATGATAAATCTTCATTAACAATAAGTATCAACGAATTCTTTAATTTATTTATCAGTGTGTTGCATAAGTTTATTAAATAAATTAAACTGAAACCTTTTTCAAACATTATATTATCTGAATTTTTCTGTTCTGTATAAAATTTAACTTGTAATTTTAGACATTTTTTATAGTTGAAATGATCAAACAAAAAGAAAACAGAGTGATTTATTTTTAATGACTAATATCAATAGTAAACCATTTTTATATTATGAAATAAATAATAATAATAACTTATAACTAACATAATTTATAATATAATTAAGTAGATATAAAATTAAAACAAATTTTTTCTTTGTTTTATGAACTTATTTGGAATTGATTTGAATTTGAAATGTTTTGAGAAATTTCAATCAATTCATTATAATCAAATTTCATATTCAGTTATAATAACTTTTTAAATTTTTAATAGAATGAGTTAATGTTTTAATTGATTCTATTAATTAAAAATTAAAAAAGAACAGAATATTGTCACATGAAAATTTCTACTTTATTTTCCAAGATTTGATGTAATTTTATTACTTAATTTATCTGATGTAACAATGCTACATTAGCTCTCACTGACTGACTTACTCACTTACTGATATGAAGCATTTGAGTAGACATACTTTTTATAGGAAAACAAATTTGTACGATCAAAAGGGGACATCACGTATGTTATCAAAAAAGTTGGAAATATTGAAAAAGTATCCTATGACATATCAGTTTGACTCAATGCCCCATAGAATATTAAGCATTCAAACTGTTGAATAGCGTGCCAATTTTCGTATGTGTGTTAATCAAGCTGAATAGTTTGGCCGTATATTCGGCCATTTGGTCATGCTTTTGGCAATAGTATATTCGGCCTCAGGCTGAATACCGAATATTCGGCCTGAGGCCGAATATACTATTCGTTGCAACACTACTTTAAATTCAGTTCAGTATGGGGTCTACAAAAACTGGAGTGACCAAAAGAATGACGAGACTTATTGCACTTATATCTTGTTAAACTATAAATGATAATCTAATGGTTAAAATTTTGTTGGATAGAGAGTTTATGTTCATATTTAAATTGGTAGGTAGTGGTGGTCTGTAGCTGTGAGAGGGGTTTGCAGATACATGTGAACACTGAAAATAGTGACACTGCATGGTGCTTGCACAGTGTCTGTATGACTTTGGATTGCAAAGAGATATGATATTGAAATTGGTGTTGGTTTGTACAGAATGATAGGATCTACAATATTATTTAGCAATAATAACTGATAAAATTAGAATTTGTAAAGTTATAAGCTGATAAGTGTGCAAGTTGAAGAAAATTTTCATAATGTCAAAGAAATTGCAAAGGAAATATGAACAGAAATGTGAGAAATGTCTGTCATTGGAAAGAAATATTTAAAATGAATCAGAAAAGCCCAAATGACTAATGCTGAACAATGCAGATTGTATAGAGAGTGTAAGAAAATCAAGCGTGCCAACTCTGACGCAAAAAGTTTCCAAATATATAAATATACAGTGTATATATATACATATATATACAGTGTAATTACAGTATATATATACAGTATAAATACAGTGTATATATATATATATGTATATATATATATATATATATATATATACACATATACATATATATATATATACACACNTAATCGTATTCAGTAAATTTTGAAAGTTGTGTAAAAAATTTATACTTTATCAAATACTGAAATATTAAAATATTTAGGAAGTTTTATTATCTTTATACATAAAATACCAGTTGAGCTAAAGTTACTTAACACACTTATAAAATCAAACTGAGTTGGGCAGGAGAAATTTTGCCATGCTAGAAACATGTTATATCTAGAAATAATCATCGTTATGAGTATAGCTGTTGTGAGGACTACATGGTGGTAATCATTGCCTGATATCAGCAGACATTTAATAAATAGTTAACTCTCAGGCAAAGAATTGATTGACAGGGATGACATGAGATGAGAAAAATCAATATATGAATCTGTTTATAGATACTGAGACAGTTGGAGCTCAGATGCAGAAATCTGTTATGAAAGATTGGAGTCTTACAAGTTCTTTCATGAGGTCTTCCAGGTATGCAATTAACTTGAAAGTTCAGTCCTTTTTTTTATCTTAATTGTCTCATTTTTGAAGATCACTGCAAGAAATATCCAGAAGTTGATGACTGCATTATGGCAAGGATGGTTTTCTTTATTGTCCAATTGCCTGGGCAGCATTGAGTAATTGGATATGGAGATAAACAGATGGTGAGTTTTCCTGTGCTCTTTGGTTCACAATGGCTGACAGCAGACAATATTCTGAGTGTCATGATTTTCAATGAGAACAAGAATTTAGTGGGATAGACAAGGAAGAGTGTCTTTGGGCATGGCAGATCAACTGGAAAAGTCCTAAGAGAGAACTCTGCACATGTAGGGAAATACCAGGTGGTTATAAAATAACCACCTGCACATGTAGGGAAATACCAGGTGGTTATAAAATAAGTCTCTCTATTTAGAACTGTTGGTAGCTTGAAGAAATAACCCAAATGAAACCAAAATTGGTACACTTACTATTTAAGGGGGAAGAAGAATGGAACAAGAAAAAAAAATAGTTAAAAAAATTGCTGATAGACAACACTATTGATCCTGTCACTTCAATTGCTGTTGTAATCATCATCACAAAGCAAAACCAGAAGAATGGTAACAAAATTAAAGGAGATTGGATCATTTACTGTAATAGCAGAAGACAATGCCAGTGCAATTGTTGAGTCATCAATGATTCCAGAAGCCAGTCTTAGTGCATGTGCACTTGCTTGAAACTTGGATATTTTATATTCTATGCCAGACATGGGCGAATGCGACTCTTGCTGAAAGTGTTAATTTCTGATTTTTATTATTATTTTTACAATTTTATTTCCACAATTTTGTGAAAATATGTTTATTAAAAAAATTCAATATTTGTTTTATAGTGTATTTATATTATATAATAAAATCACAGTACAGAATAAAAAAGTACAGTACAGAACTGCGGCTTCCATGCATTTTGCAAAACCTACATTTTGGCTCCCACTGAACTCTTGCTTGCCCACCTCTGTTCTGTGCCATCAGTTTTGCACCTTAGTTCTTTCTTCTGTATTAAACATTAAATTTCAAACTTTACAGCACCCTCTAGTGGTAACTTTTTAAACTATTTTTTCTTGTTCCATTCTTCTTCCCCTTTAAATAGTAAGTGTATCAATTTTGGTTTAATTTGTGGTTATTTGTTCAAGCTACTGACAACTTCAAATAGAGATACTTACTTTATAAGTATATAGTATTTCCACAAGGAGTCTTTAGAAGAAGTGATGAGACCTTCATGAACACTTATGCATCAGAGTGAAAGATAGAGAAAATACTGAAGGAACTTTTGAAAAAACTTTGGAAGAAACTTGCCAAAAGGAATCTCAAAAAGGGCTGAAAAGGAACCTGAATGAAAAGAACAAGGAACAGGAATTTTGTATCCTTGAAACATGGGTTTTGATCTGTTTGGCCCTTTGATTGCTTATCTTGATTGATCTTGATTCCTCATCCATGCTTTCCGATTGGTCTTGTACCTGTTTTCAGGGGAAATTTGAGACCAACTTTGGCTCTGGGAGAGATCAATGTTGATGTTTAATTTGACTTGGAATTCTGATTCCATGGCTGGTCTTAGAACTTACATTGTTTATCAGTTCCTGTCATAGTGTAAGTTTAAACAATAATATTTTATAACTTTTTCAGCTTTTTCTAATTTAACAATTTTTTAGAGTAAGTTTTGATGAAGGTTTGGTGAAGGACCCTGTTCAGAGGAACACACTGGCAGCCACCATCCTGAATTTATCTCAAATGTTTAATTTTTAAATGTGAACAGGATCATGTGATACACAAAATGAGGAAAGAGTTTTGAGAGAAATGCAATAGTGCATTTGTTATCCACCTAACTTTAATTTGTGAAAAGCTATGAAGAAATAAATTTTATAAGTTTCTCCTTTACCAAGTGTGTTAAACAAGGATATCTATGGGGATATTGATTAAAATCATTTATAATGTCATATGATCTGCTCTCCTCAAACATCAAGATGATCTAAATATATTCCTCATATTTTAGAATCATCTCAGCATTGTTTAACAAGTGCACCATTGCATTTTCATCAAAATTCTAGCCTCATTTCACGTGTCACATGACTCCATTCTCATTTAAACATTTTGAGATAAATTCAAGATAGTAGCTATTCAGTTGACAGTAATAAAAATGATTACCCCTAGACAACATGTTTCTATCATGCCAAAACTTTCCATGCCCAAATCAGTTTGATTTATAAGGGTGTTAAGTGACTTGACTCATCCTATAAACTAAAAGATTACATAGATATTATTTTAAAATAAAATATTCACTTAAACATCGTTTTGTTTTAGCATTTTTCATGCATCTGAAGTTTTTACTTTTGTAATTGTATTGTTATTTTATTTAATCTATTTTTATTTGATTATTACAGGTATTTATTGGTTGAATATGATGATCAAGATAATACAACTAAAGACCCAAGAGTCACTGAAATGTACATAACTGTTATGAAAAGATTTAGTCAAACTCTTCTTAAGGTATGGATTAAGAATATGTCATCTAATTTAATTGAATATTTTTCCTTGATCTGTATATTGATATTATTAAGATCCATGGTCCTATTTTGAAAATAGATAAAATTGGATTAAAATAATTAAACATTTTAAAATTGCTAGCTGAAGTTTAGTTTTAAATATAGTTTTATGAAGAACTGTAATTAAATTTCATAATTTAATATAAAGTATTTCTATTAACATTTTCATATTGTTATATGTTTTATCTTTAAAATACATTTTGTTTTCTGAAATGAAATGAAAAATATATTTAATTATTCTGAATTATATTTTCTTACAGTTCAAAAAACATTTAAATATACTAATTTTATCAAACTTCTACATCAGAAGTAACAATAAATTATTTTCTTGAATTAAATTTATTATTATTACAATTTAAAAATAATCAAACATTTCAGTAAATAGTTAAAACTTACAATGAGTTATAATGACAATCAGTTTTCTAATTTTGCATTAACCATTTACTACTGTTTTGAAAAAAAACTATAAAAGAAATGATCTTTTAGCAAAAAGTTTAGATGTAAACTGTTTTGTAAATCAAATAAAATGCATCTTTGAAAAATCTTTAAGATAAGATTTAGAAAATCTGAAAATAATAATTAATTAAGTCTTGAAATGTTTCAATAATGATCTTGATAATATATTTTTATGAAATAAAATTTTCCTTTAATTTATAAACAGGGTAACACAGAATATAGGTTAAGACGATCTTTATTAGCAAGGCAGCAGACATTTGTGGATAAGTTAGTTACACTGATGAAGACAGTAGCCAGGGAAAGTGGGAACAGAAAGAAAAAAGTAAGAATTTTAACAAATTATGAATAAATACAATATAATTATTAATTTTGCATTGTACAAGGTAGGAGCTAAAAGTTTCTGGCCTAACTATATTTTAGACATGATAGGAATAAAATAACGATAGTATTAGATAATGCCATCTGTATGTGGACTAATAAAACAGTTTTTCCACCAATTTGCATTAGTTGCTTGGAAACATTCATTTTAGTAAAACTTTTTGCATCAATTTACATCATGTTTGCCTCTTGCAGGACAATGTGCCAGTGCACATGACTGCCATTACCAAGGCTGCTGTGAAAGTGTGGGTTTGAGGAGTTTAACCATTCACCCTACAGCTCAGACCTGGCTCCTAGTGATTATTATCTGTTTCCAAAACTCAAAAAAGAGTGAAGGGTTGCAGAAGCAATTTATAAGCATTTTGCAGATAAAACTGCAGACTATTTTTTCAAGGGTATTGTAATGCTAATTCTAAGATGTAATAAGTGTGTTGAACTGCAAGGAGACTATATTGGAAAATGGCATCATTGTTTTATACCTATAACATCTAAAACATAGTTACTTTTTGCACCTACCACATATCTATTGCAGTTTTTTCATTAAAATTTTTATTAAAGCTATTAAAATTTATTTTAAAAAATTTAATTTAACTAATAATTACCTGTTATTAACATTGTAACATACTTAGTTTGTATTGTATATCTAATGATTTTGTTGTATGTATGCCCCACATCATAGATTTTCCCCAGTATGTCTAAACAAATAAATAAATAAATACAGTAATACCTCGACTTATGCTACCCTGGAGTTACGCGATTTTCAAATCTCGTTGATTCGTCTTTTGTTTGAGCGCCATGCAACCCTTGATTACTCACTCCCCCCACACTATCGTTCAGCTTACATGTTCGGATGTGTCGCGCGCAATCGACACATAGCTACAATTTATTTTGTGTTATTTATTTCTGTGTTTGTTATATCTATGGAGACTTGAGAGACTCTACTATGTCATCCAAACGAAGTAGAACTAATTCTTCTGCATCAAACAAGAAAAGAAAAACTTTATCTTTGGAATGTAAAGTTAACATTGGGTATGTTCGTAAAGTCGAACGAGTTAAGCGAGAATGAAGTCATCGTTATTCCTATTTCGTTAGACTTTTCGAACGA